GGCGATTGAGTGCTGTGCGAAAACGAAAACCATCCTGTAAAACAAGAACCTGAGGATTGGGAAAATACTAATCATCTCAGACAGCCAAGCTGCAATAAAGGTTTTGGGTTCTTGTGTGACTGTGTTACAAACCGTAAAGGGTAAAGGGGTGTAAAAACACCCTCAAACCGCTTGCTAAGCGGAATGAAGTTAAAATAGTTTGGGTCCCTGGACACTCGGGGCATGAGGGGGAGAAAGCTGTTCAATGGCCAGGATGGGTGCAGAAGAACAGCTTACAGAGCCAGAACCCTACTGCGGTACCCCAATTAGCTCAAGAGTAGCCACCCAAGTAGCAAAAACTGTTGGTAAATTGTTGGCACAACGTTTCTTTCCATGGTTGGCCAACAGTATGTTTTGGCGCTAAGTATTATGGTTGGCCAACCAACCAATTTTTAACGAAGGGCCACCCATCCCATGGGACCAAAACATAAAACACAAAATAAACAAGATTTTGTATGAAAAGCATAATTAATTATTTGTTGAGTAAATTGATTAAATAGTTCATAAAAACAAATTTTGAAAAAAAACTAGAACAAATTTGTTTTTCTGGGGGTTTGAGAGGATCTGGTATTTGAATATAGATTATTTAATTACCATTGGATAAGTAATGTTATTATAATAAATTGATAGTTATATGATTAATTCATCTTTCCCCTTAAATTGTTTAACTATTAAAAATTTGCTCAAATAAGTTAAAGAATATTAATTTAAAAAATATTTGGATTATTATAATCTATTCTATATATAATTCAGTTTTAAAAATCTTTGTACAACTACCTAAATCTAGAGTTCTACTGGACCGATTTTATTAATTAATGGGTCGTTGGAAAGCTTAAGTCGGGTAGATTTGCAAATAATTATGAAAGTTTTTTTTTTGTTATGATTTATGGTGATACATTAAAGAAAACGTGTTTTCCATAAGAATTACATTGAAAACAGTGTTTTACACACTTTTTATTTGGGCGCGACTTTTAGCTGCCATTTTTTAATATTTCCAAGAAGTGCATGGTATCAATTTGTAGGAAATTGTATTCTCTTTCAGAATATTACCTTCCACTTTGGTCGATTTCCACACAATCTAAAAGTTAATTTCCAAAAAAGCCAAGCAACCTCCAAATTTATAGTAAATGAGAAAATATTGAGTTTGGGATATTTTTGTTAAACTTTGTACAACTAAATCTAGACTTCTACTGGACCGATTTTGTTAACTAATGGGTCATTAGAAAGCCTAACCCATGTAGATTTGCAAATAATTATAAAACTGTGATTTTATTAAATATTTGTGGAAAAAATTAAAAATAATAAAAATACATTAAAAACTGGGGTTTTCAAGTTTCTGTTTTCACGATTCTATTTGTAGCCAGTTTTTTGCTGCCTTTATTAAGTATTTTCAAGAATTGCATAGTAGTTATTTGTAGTAAATTTTATTCTCTTTCAGAATATCACCTTCCACTTTGGTCGATTTCCTCGCCTTTTCAAAGCTATTTGTAAAAACGTTTTAAGCAACCTCCAGGTTTATAGTGAGAAAATACTGAATTAATGATGTTGTTAAACTTTGTACAATTAAATCTACAGTTCTACTGAACCGATTTTATTAATTAATAGGTAATTGGATAGCCTAATTTGTGAAGATTTGCAAATAGTTATGAAAGTACTGTTGAGGCTGCAAGCAAGATTGTTTGGCTATAAATCGATGATAAATAACTCCATTTTTGAACAATTTGTGTTGGTCGTGATTTAGCTGTGTGCTTTAAAAATGGAAGCTGGTATTTCAATGAAGGTTCTTAGGTCAAAACAAATAGAATAACGTAATTAGAATTAAGTAAATGTATCTAAAACTAAATTCCATATCCAAGATATAATCAAATTTATATTTTCTGATTAAGCGATACAGTATCTTGAACTTAACTGATTAAAACTATCATTATCTCAAGTGAAAGCCATATGTGCTTGCATAGCTTTATTTTAAGACCAATATTATGAAAATCGGGCAGGTAGAAGAGCCCTCCTGTAAACCATCGCCCGCCTGCGAAACATTAAACTCGAAAAAACCAAATTTAACTCCCATAAGAAATGTACAGGGAGGCAGTTTGTGCACGACTCAAAATATACGTCAAAATGAATGCCAATGTTTAAAATGAATGCCAATGTTTGATGGCAAATCTGCTGCACGTCCATGCCTTTAGTTTAAGGCCAAAATTATGAAAATCGTTCGGGTATAAGAGCTAACCCGACTCGGAAAAGAAAAACCAATTATTTTTATAGATGGCAATAATTACGAAACATGTGTTAATAATTCAACAGCTTATTGTTCTATTGTTATCTAATTAATTTTTCTTTGATTAAATGTTGTTGTTAACAATTTGTATTTATGTTTAAAGTGTGTTCCTTATGTTAAATGTGTGATTCTAATGTTGTGCTTAAACTGTACCATTAATATTAGTGAGTAAAGTGGTGTATGGATTTCATAACCATTATTTTACTAGAGACCGTTGTATTTAACCACAACGGGCACTGTTGCTAGTTCTATGATAAGCAGGTTTTCCCCACTGTATCTAGTAGTAGTATCACATCATCTGACTACATTTTATTATAGATCCAATTTTCTCCAAAATTGCCTTATATTCTGCTGCTATAGCATTAATGTTCTTATAAATAAATAAATTTGTTAAAAAGTGTTTTAGAATTTTGTATACTTAAATCAAACAAAGCCCCAACGATTCTTTCCTTTGTAGGGCCAACGAATACAAGTTTTCGTTGGGCCAACGTTCCGCCAACCACATCCCAACCGTGCCGACCATTTCCCAACGTTGGGCCAACAATGTGTGCTACTTGGGATCAGATCCTGGTCACTGACACAAACATTTTCAGTTCAGTCCATTTTCGTACTGTTGTACTGGGTCACCACTTACTTTGCTGCATAAGTTCCACGGGCAAATAAATAGTCTATGTGGACAGGCAAATGCAAAATTAAAAGAGGCCGCCAACCTCTTTAAAAAGCAAAGTTTATCTTAAAAATTAAAGAGTACGGGCCAACAGATACCCAATAAAATAACACAAAACGTACGTCACTGATATTTCTTCATTCTTCAGAGAGTAGGTTGAAGAGAAATGCCGGATGTTAAAAATCTGATTGATCTTAAATTCCTACCTACTTTCAGATTATAAGTGCTACATCATAACAAAATATCGGGTGGAATGTTTTGTGTATGTGTTGGTTAGCCCCTGGACTTATTTTCAGGCTTAACTCTATTCCCTCTCAAACAAATATTACTAATTGACTTTTCTTTAGTACTAAATATAAAAGGAATATTTTTACCGAATTAACACTATTGCTGGTTATACAGGGTGTTTTTCTCAATCGAAAAAAAAATAAGCATATATCCCTTGTTAGTATCTCTGTTTTTTCATCCTTCATTAGCAATCGGTTTGCATTGTTGCATAGTTTTTAGTCATGGCAGGCGCACAGACACTGTTGTATAGTTTATTTTGATTGTAAAAGCAATATAAAAGAAACTTAAGTCATATTCGCAACTAATTTTGGACTAAAAAAATTTATTATGATGGAAAATTTAACCTTGCAATCACACATTTCTGTATTTTATCATTGACTATATAACACTAGTAGTGTTATATAGTCAATGATTTTATTTTACAGTCGATGGTAAAACTCACTTTAGCAGAACTATTTTCCCATAGCATTTTGCAGACACTTCCAACTGCCACTGACGGTTACCACACTTCACACTGCTCGCCTTTACTACTTCCTCCACCACTTCCTACGTTGTGGACCTGTTTCCCTCCCTTCCCACGGCATTTTAAGATTGCAGATACATTAATCTAACGCCAGACGGATCCCACACTCCGCACTGCTTGCCTTTCCTTTACCACATCCTACATCAGTGACCTGTTTAAGTTTGCCATTTATGAGAAAGACCTAGGGCCGGCATAGTAAGACTTTTCATTTTTATGTCCCCTGAGGCCCAAAAACACCATTTGTTCAAATTTGTATACATGCACATATACAATTGTGCATATATATATATACACACACACACACACCTGTCCGTGAACGCGTTTACTTGAGTAATCTTTGTCGGCATGATCAGACCATGGGAATGGTGTAAAATTTGTTTTCTCATTTTTGACTATCAAAACACAAAATTTCCCTAGACATTTTCAAAGAGCTTAAAAAACAAATAATTTAGTATACCAGTGTTTTTGGTAACGATAAAAATTCAAAACATTGTAAATTTTAAATTCCTATGTTATTTTTATGGAGAATATTGTGAAAATGTACAGTAGTTTGCTTGTTTGTGGATATATTTTGATCAGGCTTGGCAAATTTATTTTTTTTATACTAAGCTGTTAATATTTTACAAAAAAAAAAACAAATAACTTAACTTCTTGATCAGCATTGTACGTGTCATTAAATTTACGGAAAGTAAGGCACTTTTTATGTGTCTTATAACACTTAAAAAGTGTTAGCTGCGGTGAGGGTAACAGTCCTTACCAATGAGATCCTCAAAAACAGTGACATTAGTGCCTAGGGGGCTAGCCATAGCTGACCCCTACCTATATGATTGTAAGTTATGGTATTTTGTTTCATGTTATAGACCTGTAAAGCAATGTAATGATGATTGTTAATAAAATGTAAAAAAAAACATGGCAACCCATAAAGTTTATGTTATTAGTTAAATTTATTTTTTTGTGATTACTTTTAAGCCTATTTTACCTAATTTATATAACGATTCAGTGCAGATTCAGGAAAATATTTTTGTAACAGTAGGTGTAGATTTTCCATGTGATGCACACTAGCTTAGAAAAAAGGTGTTCAAGAAACATGCTTGCCTATTAATGTATAGATAAAATCATACACAAACTACAGTTATTTTATTAAAAATTAAAAAATGGACATTTCAAAGCTTGATGTGAGGGGGGAGATAAACACAAGACAGATCTCTGTTGTACGGGAGGTTTATTGAGTGATTCACAGGTCTACTGCGTGGGCTGCAGAAGGAGTGGGACGATGGTTCTTGGCCAAGTAATCAGCAAACTCAGCGTACGGAGCCTTGGTGAGAGGCATGTCCTTCCACAAGTCTGGAGTGAGGTAGGCGTAAGTCTTGGCAATGGCAGCGTAGGTCGCCTTGGCTGAAACACGACAAAAGGTTTTAAACAACCATGCAAACTTTAAACACTTACAGTTTTCTGAGACAATACTTAAAAAGAAAACCAAGTGGCTAGTTAGGAGTATTTTGGAAAGTAATTTAGATCTAGCTTGCCTGAGAAAACTGAACAGTCCACCCATGAAACATAAAACAGATGTTTTACCCTAGAAAATAAATATCTTCTCCTGAGAGAAAGTTTAGCATGGAAATCTTTAAAAAAAGCTAGCTGAGAGGGAAGAAGGCTTATCGTTAAGATCACTCCAGTTTTCTTTTCAACCAACGAAAAAGTTAAGCTCTATTAGAACGAAATATCACCAGTGTTATGTTTTGCAATCTTTGATGATATCATTGACCATTGGATACTGAAGTTGTATTGATAGTCAAAGATGATATTCTCTTAGCCCCTGGCCCCTAATTTTCTCAGACAAGCTAGCTATAAACTCATCTCTTGTAAAATTCTTAAGTTTTCTGTGTCAAAATTTAAAAAGAAAAATTCATTTTTAAATGTACCACATTTTGTGGGATAGATAGGCAAAACCCTATCAGTCTTGTATCATGTGGATTTCCTTTACCCTGATTTAATCATGAGTATGCCAAAACGACAAACATATGCGGTAATCAGGGATACATTTATAAATTTTCTGAAAGACATAAAAATGTCATCTAACATGATTTTGTTTGGACACAACCCTGATAGACAGAGCCTAAATGCCATGTAGTGAACACTTTAATACATAAATGTGTTTTTTTAAAGACTTTTATAGGCCTCAGTTGGTAGTGCATGTATTAAATAATCATACAAATCATTCACGGTGAGAATGTGTCATCATTGGCCTTGTATCATTATAGCGGTAACAATTCCTATTAAATCTTTGATCAGCATGCATTTTAGATAAATTATGATCTATAGTTAAAATACTACAAAGTAATCACTAACTAGGAAAAATAAACTGAATGAAATATAGCAGTGACAACAACACAAAAATTCACTCTTGAAGAGTAAATATAGCTAAGAACTTGATGACTAACTGTCTGATATTGATTCCCCTTCAATTATATGCTGTTTACAAAATGAATAATCATAGAAAATCTAGCCTCAGTTGGTAGTGCATGTATTGTATAATCAGAAATCATTCACGGTGAAAATATGTCATCATCAGCTAGTTTTAATAGATCAGCAGCAATGTTGTCTTCATGTCTTGAGAACTGAAAAGAACCTGAGTTTTGTTGTTTTAATTTGGGGAAAGTTATCAGCAATAAAATATGTCGATCATTTTAGCCTCTGGATTGCTTATATATTAATTGATATTGTAAGGCCTTACCTTAGCAATCCTGTTAATAACAGGATTGCTAAGGTAAGGCCTTATAATATCGATTAATAAAATATGATTAAAAAGTTAAATATCAAGGTAACTAAAACCTTAACTTTTACTATTAATGCAGGCCAAATCTCAGCCAAATGCCTCAATTTTCCTCACCCAGTAACAATTTGAATGGATCTTGTTACTGTAGGGGAAGGTACAAGTTGTCATCATCAATTTGGATTTCAAGCTGTACAATATCCCACGTCTTATTACTAATACAAAGAATGCAAGTTGACAATACAAATAATTGCAAGTTTGGCCAGTAATTCTAAACAATAAAGCGAAGCCAAATCTCAGCCAAATGCCTCGGTGTTTCCACACAAAGTAACAATTTGAATGGATTATTGTTACTTCAGGGAATGGTACAAGATGTCATCATAGATTTGGTTTTTGCCATAACTTATATTTTGGAACTTCCTTGGTGGTGCTTTCTACAAAGTGACTTCAAGTTTAAATAGTTTCAAACGAAATTGCGAATCCAAATCTCAGCCAAATGCCTCGGTGTTTCCACACAAAGTAACAATTTGAATGGATTATTGTTACTTCAGGGAATGGTACAAGATGTCATCATAGATTTGGAGTCGTCGTTTGAATCATATTGAGATGAGGATAACTGTAGCCTTCTCAAATGCTCACCAAAGTTGCCGAGTGTACCAGTAGAGCCCCTAGCGGAGGTGTAGCAGTCTTCAATACCAGCCATCTGCAGCAACTTCTTGGGCACCGGAGCACCGACAATGCCGGTACCACGGGGGGCAGGGATCAACCTCACCTGGACTGATCCACACTTCCCTGTCACCTACAACAACCAACATCAGTGTGATAGACGGGACAAACAGTTTGCTCACTTACTAATACAGGGTGATTCAAAAAGAAGTAAACCTCTTTTTAAAAAACTATTACAATTTTTCCATACAAGCTATTTTTTGGCACCACAATGTAAAGAAATGTCTTAATTCAAAATTAAAGCGTTGGATTGGCCGTGCAGTTAACTTAAAAACCCTTAAACGTTGATGACCTCCATGTAGACCAGATTCAATTCCTTTGGAATTTATTCCTGTAAGATCAAGTGAAATTCTGTACCACTTCTGAACATATTAAACATTTGTGATGAATGGGAAAACTTGGAAATATGAACTTTCTAAAAATATAATTACTATAAAGCTGGGTTTGACCGAAAAAGTTTTTTACCTCTTTTTTAATCACCCTGTACAATCAGGACATAAGAAGTCAGATTATCTTAAACAAGTGTGTATGTTGGTTTTGTTCCATTCTGTTGGAACCCCACTTCTTTTAAGTAGCAGGGTTGTGTTGAAAGGACTTGCTTTATCCCCAAAAATTAGCATCCAAGACAATAGTCAAGATGCAAGCGGAGGGGATCTCTGAAGTGAAATCATGAATTAAAATAGTTATTTTTTGGATACAAAATATTCAAAAACAACACAAAGCAGGTATTTATCCCAGTGTAAGACTCCTTCAGAGAAGTTAATTGAAGAATACCCTAGTAATTATTGAATGGCTAATATTCATGGCATACTTTGTCCCCTCGGTGACATTAAATCTAGGCTATTTTCTAACACAGTAAAATTTGTAATTGGAAAGGAAATTTTCATATTTTTTTTTGATAAACTAAGAATACCAAGTAAAAGACCCTAAAATATTTTATTATAATCTGAAAATATGTATACAGTAGAGTCCCGCAAACTCGGCACTCGATAACCCGGCAGTCTGGATAACTCGGCCATCACCTGGCTCAGAAAATTAGTGATTTTTGGGTCTGAGTTAAACATGGACTCAAGCCAGCTCAAGTCAAATCATTCACAACTCGTACCAAGGATTTGTTGTACTAAATCTGATGACTTAATACTGACTTGTAAAATAAATATAAATAAAAAAGGCAATCAAAAAGCTTAAAAATTGTACTGTTCTTATTTTGAACCCTAGTTTCTGATAACCCGGCATTTCACAAACTCGGCACCCTTCCAGTCCACATTACGCCGAGTTTGCGGGACTCTACTGTATCAACTTGGAAACTGTGAATTGACCAATCTCAGACATGTTAAAACCTTCATTAGGAAACCCTTCCGGTGGAAACCGCAAAAGTTTTTAAACAAAAATATCATCATTGATTGGTCTTACAATGGATGAGTGAGTGTGATCTGTATGAGTGTCAACAAAACACAGCATAAGAAAATTATTTCATAAGCTTAGTTAAGAGTTCACTATGGCATTTTGTTCTTTATCAATAAAAATAACAAAACAAAATTCTGACTACCGTAATCTCAAACCTATAACATGTACTATTTTTTTTTTTGAAGAATACCAACCTCAGACATGTTCATACCTTCATCAGGAAACCCTTCCGGTGGAAACCGCAAAAGTTTTAAAACACAAATATCATCAGTGGTTGGTCTCAGGGAAAAGCTTTTCAGGCACCATAATGTTATGAGTATATAGTAATGATACACACTGGGAATATTTGCTATCTTTATTCTACTTTGATGCAGTGGTCAGTTAAATCCATTTCAGTAATGTGAATTTTTTTTTAAATAAACACAAAAAATATTTTTTTATATAGGCCAATCACATACCGGATAATGGTATTAATTGTTTACTTAAAACTGAATATAGAATTACTCTCACAAGTTAATATATAAGGAGTGTAAATTCAATTGATCATCATGATTGGAATCAGACAAACTCTGATTTTTTTATTACTACTGTAATAAAAAAAAAATCAAGATGTGTTCACACCCATTAATTTGGGACACGTTAAATTAAGGACCAACCTCAGACATGTTACGGCCTTCATCAGGGAAGTGAATTTTTTTTTAAATAAACACAAAAAATATTTTTTTATATAGGCCAATCACATACCGGATAATGGTATTAATTGTTTACTTAAAACTGAATATAGAATTACTCTCACAAGTTAATATATAAGGAGTGTAAATTCAATTGATCATCATGATTGGAATCAGACAAACTCTGATTTTTTTATTACTACTGTAATAAAAAAAAAAATCAAGATGTGTTCACACCCATTAATTTGGGACACGTTAAATTAAGGACCAACCTCAGACATGTTACGGCCTTCATCAGGGAAAACCCTTCCGGTGGAAACCGCAAAAGTTTTAATAACAAATTATCATCAGCGGTTGGTCCACAGAATGACAGAATAATCTTTAACACATAAAACAGGACAATATTTGTCTTTTTTTATCAGGAAAGGTTATGAAGGAGTTAATTACAAATCGGACTTTAAACCTTTTAAGTACCAGTATTTAATTACCACAGATTAACCTCAGACATGTCCAAAGCCTTCATTAAGGAAACCCTTCCGGTGGAAACCGCAAAAGTTTACTAACATAAAATCATCAGTGGTTTGTCTGTAAGATAACTCTATGTACTAAAATGTTTTAAGTACACATGGCCATTTAAAACAAATGAATAATAGGTTAAACCAAATTTTTTTTCACATCAATACAATACAAATATTACCGCTTCATTACTTTTGATAATTGACCAACCTCAGACATGTTAAGGCCTTCATCAGGAAACCCTTCCGGTGGAAACCGCAAAAGTTTTTTTAACAAATTATCATCAGTGGTTGGTCCACAGAATTCAGAATAATCTTAAACACATCAATTTTTATCAAAAAAGGTTATGACGGAAAATTTATTACAAATCTGACTTTTAACCTCTAAATATTTAATTACCACAGATCAACCTCATACATGTCCAAAGCATTCATTAAGGAAACCCTTCTGGTGGAAATCGCAAAAGTTTACTAACATAAATATCATCAGTGGTTTGTCTGTAAGATTACTAAAATGTTTTAAGTACACACATGGTCATAAAAAAAAATAATAATTGGTTAACCAAAATTATTTCACATCAATACAATACAAATATTACCACTTCATTACTTTTGATAATTGAGCAACCTCAGACATGTTAAGGCCTTCATCAGGAAACCCTTCCGGTGGAAACCGCAAAAGTTTTTTTAACAAAATATCATCAGTGGTTGGTCATTGAAACAATCCCAAACAACAATTTTAGATTCCTGATAGTCACAATAATGTATTTCTTTTGTGGTGTTAAGATCTCGATAAGATTAACATAGAGTAACTCATTTGATTTTCACAAATAAAGGACTCACTAATCCAGCACAAGCAGGACTTTGGCAGGGTGTATCTTCAGCCAAACTCAAATTTCTTAGAAAAACATTAAAACTTCGTATCACTCGCTTTTACAGTTGATTAAATAAGCTAATGGAGTAACACATCAGCCTGACCGGTAGTAAAAGGCCATAACCTTGACCTGTAACTTTGCAGCCTACAGTAACCTGACCTATCACAACCTAACACAGTTTATGATGAGTCAATTTTAAATCTAATGCATTTTGTTAATTTTTAAATGTTTAGTTTTTTACTATACCTACTCCAAAATAGTTAGTGAAAACCAGTCAAATATCTTTTATGAAGTGTTACTAGTGAGCAGGTAGAGAGTTCCTTATTTTCTTTCTCAAACTCTTCAGATCAAAAACAAATTTTCTGATTTGCTACAGACGTCTTCCAAATGCTCCCGACCACAAGCCCTTTATCATCACCCCTTTATACAAAGTCTTTTATTTCTATCTTTTAAGTCTGTCAAAAGCTGGACAACTTTTGAATTGCTATACACGAAAACGGATCAATCCCGACCGCTGCCGTCTCTTCCGATGTCTGTCCATGGATCCAGATGTCTGTCAATCGATACAGATTTTTTTATCACTGATGTTTGCTTATCACCCTCTACCGCTAAAAACTCTTCCAATCATTGCCGATTCTGCCAAACACACTCGTATTGCTTAAAACAGTATAAAAGTAGAAGTGTCGTATCGGGTGCCGGATTAGCATGGTTTTACTGTATAATGATTAATACGATTTATAAAAGGGATTTACAATAACCTAGCTCCACATAATGTACCTCCATAATACCAGACCAACCTCAGACATGTCAATGCCTTCATCAGGAAACCCTTCCGGTGGAAACCGCAAAAGTTTTATAACACAAATATCATCAGCGATTGGTCTTTAGAGACATTATGGGACGTTAGTGTCACTAACTTAAATGTTAGAGGGAGAGACAGGTTTCGATCCCTGGCATATCCATTAGGATTTTATTGATTTACACTCAAGTGTTTGTAAACTTAGTACAAAATTGAAGACACTGACAAAAAACTCAGACACGTTTTAAGTGTCACCGTCACGGTTGACACCTGTCTCACAAACTCGGCACTCGATAACCCGGCAGTCTGGATAACTCGGCCATTACCTGGCTTAGAAAATTAGTGATTTTTTGAGTCCGAGTTAATCATGCACTCAAGCCAGCTCAAGTCAAATTATTCACAACTGGTACTAAGGATTTGTTGTACTATATCTAATGACTTAATACTGACTTGTAATATGAATATAAATAAAAAAAGGCGGATAAAAAGCTTAAAAACTTTGGCATTTCACAAACTCGGCACCCTTCCAGTCCACATTACGCCGAGTTTGCGGGACTCTACTGTACCTACTTTGGTCTCTTGTGCCCTTATTATGCCTATGTTAATACGTGGGAAGAGATCAGTATTTCAGACGTATTTCAGTACAGATCAAAGATCACAGAAGAGAAGTGGCTCGCATTCAGTATTTCACACAAAGATGGGCGGCTGTCTTGATTTTTCCCTAACCAAAGGTGACAACCCTGGTCATCGTTAAACAAAAAAACTAGCACTTCCGTATTTAGGCCTACGAAAAGATGACTATATTTTGGTACAGAATTCAGGCTAGTAATATCTTAAATAGCCTATTTACAAGGTGAGAAGAAATAATGTAAGCTCAGGTTGTTTTAAAACCAAAAGCACCTTTTTTAAGGTAGGAAAAAACTTGAAAATAACGTCAAAGAGGTAAGCAGTACCTTGCAGGGCACGGTGTGCGGCTTTCCGATCTTGTTACCCCAGTAGCCTCGTCGCACAGGCACTACAGACAGCTTGGCCAAGATGATGGCTCCTCGGATGGCTGTGGCGACTTCCTTTGAACACTTCACTCCAAGACCGATGTGGCCATTGGAGTCTCCAATAGCTGCAATGCCATCAGAAATTAGAACACACAGTCAACTCCACAAAGTGCTGTCATGACAAAGGAAGTTTGTGCTTCTTCAGCAAAGATTAAGCCATTAGATCATCACTGTCAATCTGATGTAATTTTTGTCATCATTGAAGCAACACATTGGAGAATATCTAAACAACTAGGCCTATGTAGGTATAAATAGTCTGCATAAAAATATAGCGTACGGTACTAGAAATTAATTATAAGATTCAATGTAAACCTGACTTATCTTAGCCTTAAAAAAACAATTTTATCGGTAAAAAAGTCATTTAAGAAAGTTGTAGCCTAGTTTTGATGTCATAGAATAATTTAAAATACCTATTATACTTTCCTGATTGGCCAAACTATATTAATCACCACAAATAGTCCGTAATAGCCCACGGACACAAAAGTTAAATTTTAAAATACAAATAAATTTATTGAAATGACAAAAACATTTACTTTAGGTACAGCTTTATAGTATAACATAAACAAAATCATACAACTCCAGCGGAAGTGATAAAATCGTGAATACCTCTCCATCCGTCTCGAAAACGTTATGAACATCTTTTGCAATGGTAGCAAAATCCTGAATATCCCCCAGAGTTTGTGTGGTCATCATCATCGTCTCCCACGGTCAATGAAACGTTATCATCATTCGGCGACCACGGCAAAATCACAATTATATCCCGTTTTTTAATAGATATCATCATTATCTCCAGCAGTTACGAAAACGTCATCACAGTCTTCCGCTATCCCGGCAAAATCCTGAACATCTCCTGCGGTCATCTTAATATATCTACCATTGTCTAGCGTGTTTACAGAAACGTTATCGACGACATCATCCGTGTTTGTGGTAAAAGTGTTGATATATAAACCGCACAAACTCCCCAAACTATTTAAGGACATAGTCAGATATTTACAGACAATTCCGTAGGTACATTTCATGGCCAGCCCAAAATTAAGAACAACTCCCGTTTTTCTCGGATTTCCCGGTTGGTAGACACCCTGCTTATAACTTAAAACAAATAGGCTATAATTGAAATGTACCATCATTCTAATACTACACTCTTGGTTTAGCAGTGAAACTGTAGGCCTAGTTTTACAAACTAACATATTAACATCTTAACACCCATGTATTATGCGAGGAATTAGTAATGATTAAAATTGTCTCACTCAGTGCTTCGCCATTGATGAAATACGAAGGTCTACCTAGAATAAATAGGCCTAAGCCTGTATATAATTTTTTTTAAGTAAATGATAAAAAAACTTAGGACCAATCTCAGACATGTTAAGATCTTCATCAGGAAACCTTCGGTGGAAACCGCAAAAGTTTTATAACACAAAATATCATCAGTGATTGGTCTTGGACTTGAAAAAGTAGGTTAACTTTGGATCCTGCTAGGCATTAAAATCAGAAACAGATCCATTTGAGGTAGGCCTACTTTAAGTTCTGCTAGTACACTATTAACATTTATAACTAACTCAAGGCACCCGGTTGGTAGACACCCTGCTTATAACTTAAAACAAATAGGCTATAATTGAAATGTACCATCATTCTAATACTACACTCTTGGTTTAGCAGTTAAAACTGTAGGCCTAGTTTTACAAACTAACATATTAACATCTTAACACCCATGTATTATGCGAGGAATTAGTAATGATTAAAATTGTCTCACTCAGTGCTTCGCCATTGATGAAATACGAAGGTCTACCTAGAATAAATAGGCCTAAGCCTGTATATAATTTTTTTTAAGTAAATGATAAAAAAACTTAGGATCAATCTCAGACATGTTAAGACCTTCATCAGGAAACCTTCGGTGGAAACCGCAAAAGTTTTATAACACAAAATATCATCAGTGATTGGTCTTGGACTTGAAAAAGTAGGTTAACTTTGGATCCTGCTAGGCATTAAAATCAGAAACAGATCCATTTGAGGTAGGCCTACTTTAAGTTCTGCTAGTACACTATTAACATTTATAACTAACTCAAGGCATTGAAATCATTACATTGGACCTACAATATTGAATTTTTTTAACTTTTCAAAACCATAGTGTAACTTAGGTTAAACCCTTCTATCAGCAATATTGAGTTCATAAGATGGGTTTACAATATCAGGCTTCTTGACCTTTGCTTATATCTCATTCCAAACACTCACCCACAAAAGCCTTAAACCTGGTACGCTGACCAGCCCTAGTTTGCTTCTGGACTGGCATGATCTTGAGAACTTCATCCTTCAGGGAGGATCCAATAAAGAAGTCAATGATGTCATATTCCTGAAAAAAAAAAAAACATTTAGCTTTATATCAGAAAAACAGTTAAATTAACAGGGGAAAATTTAAGAATACAGTAGAACCCCTCATATCCGACCCATGACAGGACCGGGCCATGGTCGGAACGGCCAAAAGGTCAAATATTGGGAAGAGCATTACCTGCAGACTCCGCGACGCGACCGCAACGACACCCGTAAACGTAACATGCAGACAACAACATGCATAACAAGAAAATAAATAAATTAAAAACTATTTAAAAAACACAGAACTATACAAGTTTTAACTACTGTAAGTTACAGATACAAAAAACATGTTTTAAAGCAAAACTATCAACTTTTGTTTTAGCTGGGTTGAATGTCAAGTGTTTCACACAAAGCAATTTACTATTTTTACGGATAAATACTAGCAAAACTTTGCTGTAGGAGTCTGGTGTAGGGCTCCTATCCTAAAAAAGTTAATGTTTAGGCCTATCATTCGCACAGATCATTAGGAGATATTTACAAGTACTGAAGCTTGACGAGAAAAATTAACTCACCTTAATAGGCAAGGAGAAAAGGTAAATGTCCTCAAGGTTGCGGATTTTTCCATCCCTGACCAGACGGCCAAGCTTAGTGACTGGGATCCATTCCTTTTCAGCTTCTTTGCCGCGACCTCTGCCACGACCACGTCCGCGACCACGACCTCTTGGTCCGCCTCGGCCACCACCTCTGGCACCAAATCCTCCACGGGAACCTCCTCGGGCTGGAGCTGCGTCCGCCATGATTCTAATTAAAATATTTAAATTAGTCTTACAATAAGTTAGCTGTATTTGTAGATTCTTCAGTGTTGTTCAGAGTTGGCTGTGAGTTAAATTAAAATTAAGGCTAGACCTAACTTACTTAATAAAAAATACCCTCGCCGCAGCAAACCTGCCGACGAATTTTCATTTGTCTAAATTGATTTTAAATAAAATATATTTCAATAACATTAGGTTTAACGAGTAGGCCTACCTAGATTTGCTAAGGAAACTATTAAAAATGTGTTTTTTACTAAAATACCGTATTATTAACTTAAAATAAATTAATAAATTAGCCAAGTTTGATCAAAATATATCCATAAAAAAGCGAACTACAACATTTTAAAATATCCTCCATAAGAATAAAATGGGAATTTTAAATTCATAACTTTTGAATTTTCTTTTAAAATAGGCTCAAAAATAAGCACAAAAAATTAACTAAAACTTGAAAAAACTAACACGGCCCTTGTGGGTTGCCACGCTGGTGACAAAATGACAACAAAATATAAACAGAGCCTATGGAAGTGATAAACAATATGGCTATGCCTAACAGATTACATTAAAATTCTAATATATGAATAAGATATAAGTCTAAAACGGCTTCAGCTAAAATGGCATCTGCTCTAGCATTGGCAATGAAGTAAACCTATTTGAAGCCCCAGATTAAACCAGCTAGGCCTAGGCCTAAAACTTATAAAGAATATCCCTTTGAGTGCCTCAAGGGGGTGAAACAATTTTATTTGAGGTTTGCCAGGCCTACATGTGGTGTTGCTTCTAGGAACGCCGACCATCTTTTCACATAAATGCAGGTGTTTAGGAAAATCGTCATAAAACACTTATTTATTAACATTTTTTGTCCTAAATTTGTTTTGTTTTGTAGATTATTAGATCATGCATTGTAAAATAGGCCCAGGACTAATTTTAGTTGGGGTTTCACGAGATATTTTCATGGACAAGACAAAAATAGGCTATGGTGCAGTTTATTCTTATTTTCAAACAAAGTTCGAGTTAAAATAACACAATTTAAAATTATTCATTGACATTCAATTTTAAGGTACATCATTTTAAAGAGCATTAAAAAATCATGTAGGCCTATAGCAAATGTATTTATTGTATAAAAGAGGTCTCAAAAAATTCTAGGCAGTACCTAGCAAACAACCTAAATCATGCTCTGCTCTAGGACTTGTATTGTTGCAGACATAGCTAAATCATTTTACATTGTACTCTATTTTATGTAGTTATTATTATGCTTATAATTCGAATTACTTTTAGAATACTACTATACGCCATGCACAAAATATACAAACGGTCAAAATAAAATCATGCACCTATAGTCCTGACTTACTAAGTCCAGTTACCAGTACACTTTGACTTTATGTGATTAGCCACAAACTATCAACAAATGCACGAATAAGTTGTGGTGTTATAACTTTTTTTTAAAGGTTTAAAATGCATTTTTCAACGATTCATGACCATAACCTGCAATTCTATAACCAAACCATTCGTAAAACGTAAACAGTCAAAACAACAACACACGAACCAGTTGTATAACGCCGTATACTATTGAGTGATGGTTTTTGATTGGTTGACCACATTTCTCAGCTCCATTCTACAGTAAAAGAGCAAAACAGTTGTTGCCAACCTCCTTCTGTCGCATTTGGTGTGACTTGCAGCTAGCTTTATTAAACATTTGTCGCACAACCTCAACCGTCTTGCTACAAGACGCTCAGCACTCAAGCCACGACAATGGTGCGTCTCAGAGCGAGACACGGCGGCACTCATAGGGATATTACCCAAGTGGGATATGACCCTAAAACATCTTCAGCTAAATGGCATCTGCTCTAGCATTGGCAATGGAAATAAACCTCAAGAAAATTTGAAGCCCCAGATTAAAATGATCTATTCGCCTATTGGGTCTGATGATGATCGGAGTGTCCAATCAAAATCCATCACCACTTACCGGTTCCATCTTTTTTGAATATTTACCGTCTTGTGAGTAACATATTCTAAGCGTATCTTAAATATATGTTTTAAGTGTTATAAGACATTTATTTGATTTACTTTCCGTAATATTAACACGTAAGTACAATACTGATCAATAAGTTATACAACTTACAGCTATATTAGCCTATGGACATTCGGGCCAGTGACGTATTTTGTTTATATTTATTAGTCCATAACATTTCTGTTTAATATTTGTGCTATGCATTGTCAATATTCCAATGGTAGCCTACCTACGCGAAAATGTTGCATCGCTTGTCACATCTCACCAAAAATAACGAACAACCGAATTAAGTATAACAAAAACACTCTCCGTCTGCTAGGCTTTGGTAGAACACGGAGAGGTACCTTCCAGACTTCGGACTGGCCGGCAGACGAGAAACTTAAGAACTAGAAGAAATGAAACAGACTAGAAAGTTAAACTAAGGATGTTGCTGGTCAAAGTGAAACCAAGGATTAAAAAAACATTAGTTGAGTACAAGAGTTGCATTTATCAGTTATTGCATAACAATATTTGCAAACGCAATAAATTATTTTGTTCCAAAGTAAAATAACGTTAACTTACCCTAACTTAGCCTATATAATTTATTCGCCTACAAGTTAGTAACCTAGAGAGTAAAAAAAAGATTAAGTACCTAGCCTACTAGTTCACACTAGGGATGTTGCGATACTATCGATACCAGTAAGTTTAGGTATCGATACTTTTATTGCGATTCTGCTGGTATCGTATCGGTTGTTCCGGTATTTACTTGGTATCAATACCAAGAGGCCAGTATCGTATCGTAAGTATCGGAAGGTCATTTCTGACAAATCTGAGTAAAATGGCTACGCTCGTGCCTTCTAAGCGGTTGTTATTCAAGGTTGGAGCAACAGTGACCCAAAAAGAAACAGTCTTTAACTCAATTAAATATTTGTTTTTTTGTTTAGCTTGTCTTATATGTGGTTTGTGTAAATTATGATTCACTATTTGTTCATAGAACTATAAGTAAAACTTAAGGGTTTGGTTGCAGAGTTAATTTTATTACACATCGATGTTAGCAACGTTGTGTTAGGCAAATAAAATGAAACCATGGACTACTAAACATCAAATAAATTAAAAAGATGGCACTTAGTTATTTAAATTTTTTTTTTCAATAAAGACTGATGGTAAACACAAATGTCTATGTATGCGTTGGTAATGTAATAAAATTGTTTTTTGTTTAAGATAAATGATATGAGTTTAGGTTTAGAACAACAGGTAGGCCTATAAGCTACTTGAACTTTTACTTTAACCCTCCAAGTGTCCATAGTTTAGGCCTTAATGTCCACCTATTTTTGGCGCATTTGCAAGGTTTTATTAAAACGGATCTGAGAAGCTTAAAACAATGTTAATTCTAATGTTCTATATACCATTTTGTTTAGAAAATCATGGGCTTCAATATCATACATAAAACATGAGGAATATTTGTTTCAAAAAATTTTTTTAGGTAAAAAAAAAATTATTTTGGAAAAATTGAAAAAAAAAATAAGTTTGCGCTCAATGAAATTGTATAAATTATAGGCCTATAAATATTTGAAAATAGCCACTTTGTTCTAAATTTAATGAGGATTACAAATATATAATCATATAGTGAGGTAAGTTATCAAATAAAGAAATTATGAGTGAAAAACTGATTTCAGTACATAGTGTTTAGCTAAGAATGCATAGACTAACCATAGCTAGGAATCTGGCTGATAATTTACATCAATATCACTACCTACTTCTTCAGGATCATCAACCAGCCCTTCAAAATCACTTAAATCTTCTTATAATGCACCACGTATATCACTACTTTTGATTTTTAACACTAAAACAATGATAAACGTAATAAAACACATCAGTCATCGGTCCGAGGATAACCAAGCTGTTTACGAATACTCACGTCAGCTGTCTGCTACAATTACGATCGGCTTGGAGAACATAGCCTACAGCGCTGAGACAGACCTCTGGAGAAAGCTTAGAATATAACGGAAAGAACGATACCTAACTCGATCCAGTTCAATCCGATTCAGTCAGTCATAGAGCCTTCACCGTAAACGATGTTCGCGCGTCGAAAAATCTACGCGTGACACTACACAAAGTGTGTACCGTAGCGTGTCGATTTTTCGACGATGGACGCTCGGAGGGTTAAGGTAACATTACGCGTGACACTACACAAAGTGTGTAGCGCGTCGATTTTTCGACGATGGACGCTCGGAGGGTTAAGGTAACATTGAAAACAAAGGTTGGCTATGTTTAGTTAATTTTAATTTTATCAATTTTTTACATAATTAAGTAGGCCTTAGCAGCTTGGTTAAAAATTTTATATTGGCTGAAAGTAGGCTGTACTGTACTGGAGCGAGTTAACTTTAATCGAAGATCAGACAATCAGAATATGACGTCACCAGTATCGAATGGATACGATACTGATGTAGAGGTGAGTAACTACTACCGGAACGAACTACTCCGACTCCGGAACGACAAGTCCAACTCCGGCTCTTGGATCGGAGTTAGTTCCTCTCGGAACTAAAGATAGTCAAGAGACCGCCATTGGTTAAGATACATTATGCAATAAATTAGAGGTTGTTGTGGTATTAAATAAATATTGTAAATCTGTTTAAAATGAATGTAGGCTATTATGAACAGTAATCGACTAATGAGGGGGGAGCAGCAGAACACCTAACATCACAAGAATACGACTGGAACGACTCACTCACTGCCCTACTGTTTCGTCATTCCTCACTCCACTAACTATGGTCCTCCTAATTCATTCCGCATGTTCAATAACGATTACTGGAATGGAACCAGGAACTATCATCCAGAGGTGATGCGAAGAAGAACGACGGACTGGAACTATGAGCTCTGAACCAAAATGGTTGGTGAGTGATTCTGAGTGGAAGCGCTCCACTCCGAAAGTCCGGGTTCAGCCACGTTCAGCGCTCTTCTAAACGGAGTTGGAACTACTCCGCGGAACTAGTTCCGACAACTCAATAACTCCGGAGTGAACGACTCCACCAAGTGAACGATAATTCCCATCTCTATACTGATGGTATCGTTAGCCTACTTTGGTTCCGATACTGAGCCGGTATCGATACCAAATATCGGAAAGACAGTGGTATCGCAACATCCATAGTTCACACTTGCAGAAATCCTTGAGAGCTAAATTTTGAACATCAAAATCAAGTAACCTCCGGGGAAATCTGGAGATATGGCAACCCTATGCGAGTTTTTATAAATATACTAGCCTAACTTAAGCCTAATTGAGAATGTCCAGTTGGTACCTACATTTGAGAGAAATTGATGTTATTTTATTGAGAGCGGGTTAACTTACGTGGAGGGCACAGCGTGTGGTGGTAACTTAAACAGTGTAGGCTAGAAGGAGGGCCTACTGAAACATGAGTTCCATTGATTTATTTACTGACTTCTGTAAGAATACTGAAAAATGGTTCCATACATCAAAATTTTTCTTTACAAAAATTGATTATTACTTGGTTTGATAAGGAGGTTAGGGATATTAGTTGTAAACACGTGTTCCAAACTCCAGTGTAAACGCATCGTTATCGCAAGCCTAAAACTAGGCCTAGGGATAATGGGGGAGGCACGGGCTGATCACTTCCCTAAACATGCCAGCTTTATGTACTGAGCCGAGCCTTCATTTAGAGGAGATAGAAATTTTAAGTTCGCCATCATGTTAAACGGGCTACTCTAATGAATTTAGGTAGGCTAATTGAAACGAAACATTAACTTAATAACTTGGTGACACTCCCATAGGATCGGTTGGGCTGGCACGTGCCACGTGATGACCAAAGTTTACTTGATTAAAATACCTAAGAACCTTGAGTGACAAATATCTACATGGTAAGGGCTATGATACTTAAAATATTAAATTATCATAAATTGTAAAGCTAATTTGTAATGTTAATGTAAATATAACATCGGATGGGTTACATACCGTTAACTCCTAGAGATACAGGAAGAAAACGAGGATGATTTCCGGCTCTCCGAACGTTTTATAGCGCAATAGGCAGGCTGGCCACTACACGAAACTAAATCAACTGTATTTTGAAAAACGTCATATTTTATAACAACAAGAATCAAATAAGATGAGATGAGCGGACGAGCTATATGACCATTGATATTGAAAAATTCAACTAAGATAATACAGCAAATACTGCCTTTTTTACAATCCATTATACCATTTACTACATACACTAGTGTATATATAGTCAATGATATTACAGACTAACCAACACAAGTAGACTTCTCATCCCATTGTAAATTTTGAAGCACGTTTTTCGTGTCTAGTTCATGTACGTGACACAAAGGCGCTAGTGTCGATGAAACTTTGTTTCCATTATTTTAGGGCTAATTTTTTGATTTGTGCTTTACTGTTTGGTTATATAACTAGGGGACAAGTTATTGTTTATGATTAGATCGTATTATTTGGTTAAACGAGGTTTTTAAATGGCTGTAATAACGGGAAACAAATTGTAAACAAAACACGACCTCTACATAAACCGTACATGAACTAACAATAAAATTGTCTTCAGCTGTTCCATAAGGATGAAAAATCTACTAAGGGAGTATGTTTTATCTATGATATTACAGACATGTTTTATCTATGATATTACCCAGTTCAAAAAAATATTTTAAACAGTTGAAATTATTTTTAGTTTAGGTAAACCATAGACTAAACAACACAAGGGGCCTAAGGGAGTATGTTTTATCTATGGTTAAACTTAAGTATTGAAAGGAAACATGCCTACGACATAGGAAAAAGGTGAACGAAGTAGTAAAGGCTGGCAGTCCGAGTGGGGGAACTGTCTGTGGCAATTACTGTACATTAATGTATCTGCGATCCTAAAATGCTATGGGAAGTGAGGGAAACAGGTCCAAGACGTAGGGAGTGGTGAAAGAAGTAGTAAATGCGAGCAGTGTGGGAATGGATTAATGTAGGGCTGCAATACACTAGGACTGCTTTCAGAGTAGACTTATGATTTCCCCCAAGCAAAGCTCGGTCTCCTGATACTATTCCTTTATTGCCTGTTGACTATAGACAATTAGACAATTCGTTATTCCGTTAAACAATATAGATTACATTACAGTAGGAAAGGTCAGTACAATTTCAAAACATTTAAACTAAAATTAATACTATATAATACAGGTTAGCATATTTACATGCATGGCTTGCGTCACAATTTACAGATAAAATACATCAAAACCAATGACATAAAGCTAGAATCATCCATTTGGAAAATAAACCAACAATATCAAGATCAAGAGGTTGTGGTGGTTTAGTTGAGTCGGTGGCTCAGTCGGTATAGCGTCGCGGAATTCGGGCCCAAGGCAGCGATGTCGTGGGTTCGGATCCTGGTCACTGCCGATAACATTTTATCAGTACAGTTCACCTTTGTACTGTACCGGCTCACTCCTTGCTTTGCTGTAAACGATCCACGCACGGGCGCTTAGTCTATGTGGACGGGCAAATGCAAGGTTAAAACAGGGCGCCAACCTGTTTTTTTTTTTTTTTTTTTTAGAAAAAATCTTCTCATAAAATTGAAGCAAACCTTCTTTTGGCCGTTTGGATTGTGGACATTTTGAACTTTTAATTCCAAACGAAAGTATAGTCAGCCAAATAAATCGAAAAGATCAAATGCGATGAAATAATTACTGATAGTAAAATTTCTAAAAGCATTTCCAGAGAAGTGAAATGTAAGACCTCAAAAGTAAAATCTAAAGCCAAACCAACTCCAATTTCCTATAGTGCAAATAAAGCTATATAAAAATAATGAATACTATGACCACGGAAGTGTCCAGTTTCTTGTAACAGCAGTCGATGTCAATCAAATTGATACGATTAAAGACGATTTTATGAACAAGTTATTTACCAGAAGATTCGGAGTTCCACTTTTTAACTCTGTAAGTTCTCAAGAAAACAATGAATGGCACACACGGTGGCTTTGTGCAATGAAATGAAAAGGAAGACAATATACATTACCACAAGGTTAAAAATTGGAAGGCAATTTGTAGATGTTCTAGCCAAAGAGATCCAAGCAGTCCCTAACGGTATAAATTCAACCTAAAGAATATTTTTCTTATGTGCTACAATTCTTCAAAAAGATCAAATGATAAAAAAATGGGTCTGACATAAGACGTTTGATGAAAAAAAAGAATGGACATGTGGGAAAATTATCAATTTTATGAATTAATACGTGAAGCCATAGATAAAACATCTCCCTTAGGTGAAGCTGAGAGATATGTGATCGGCAAATGAAAACATCACAAGAACACCAAGAAGAAGACCAGAAAATAAGAATCTTCACAAGATTATGGTATTACAAGGAAAATTACGTGAAGCTACAAGATGGCTCACAGATCGCTCCGGCGATGGAGTACTCACACCTGACGATATTCTTCCTTCCTGGCGGTCAAAATGTTTTTCAAGTTTTCAAAAATAAGCACCCACGTCAAATGGTTCTAAATGATAATACACCTTTCTAGCTGACGAGAATTTACCATTTACTCCTTTCCCCTTTAAAAAAAACTTAAAACTCTTCTTGAAAATAAAATAAAATAACTCTTCTTTTATAAATGTTCGCAGCATCTTCATTTCAAAATAAAATTCATTGTTTGTCAAATGTAAAATAAAATTAACTTAATCTTGCTGCGAACTTGTTCTCTTGTCTACTAAAGATTAAGTTTCTGCGGGGCCGTTATCATCCTTTTGGACCTCCGCAGGGGTTCTTGTTCGTGAGTTATACTTCCTTTAGGTAATGGAGATTTCCGAGGTGATGGAGATTTCTGAGGTGGTAAAGATTTCCGAGGTGGTGGTGATCTCGTGGGACTCTGTGATTGATCAACATATATAGGAGGTTCGACCAGACTTTTGCTTGGTGATAGCACTGGTAAGGGTCGTGGAGGAGTGATTTCTGGTTCTTCTCTTCTCACAATGGGCAATTCACCTTCCAACTCTTTCAAATGATCGGCATGTACAAACCGTTTCTGTCCCCTTACGCTAACAATGTAAGTCACAGGACTGATACACTTGATAATAACTCCCGGCATCCATCTTGTTTCTTCGTTACGGATACTTTTGACCCAGACTTCCTGTCCTAGTGTGAACGACCTCCATTTTCCTCTATGTTGGTCACTGGATTCTTTTATTTTCTGTTGCTTGCTCTCCATGTTGCTTTTGAAATCTGGTTTTAGCAGAGTGAATCTGGTTCTAGGCTGAAAACCCAAAAATAGTTCCGAAGGTGTTCTACCAGTGATTGAGTGAGGTGTGTTACGGTAAGCGAACATGAAACAATCCAGTTTGTGCTGCAAAGTCCGATTTCGGCCCTTGAGGTTGTCTTGGAGTACTTGCTTTAAGAGAGATGTTTTAAAAGTACCCACCATAGACTCTGCTTGGCCGTTACTCGCCGGATGATATGGAGGGGAGAAAATGTGATTAATTCCATTGAATCTCAAAAAACTTTCAAATTCTTCTGACCTAAAAGGCGGTCCTCCGTCTGTGATGATGTTCTCCGGAACTCCGTATGCGGCAAAGCATGTACGTAATTTTTCAATAGTTTTTGAGGCGTTGGTACCATTCATTTGGTATACTTCGACCCATTTAGAGAAACAGTCCACTAGTATCAGAAAATAAACACCATCCTTCTGAGCGAAATCTAGGTGCACACGCTGCCATTTCTTTGAAGGCCACTGCCACGGCTGTAGAGGCAGCTTAGGGGCAGATTTACGGGTCATTTGACAAATCTCACAAGTTTTAACAACATTTTCAATTTGGTCATCAATTTTAGGCCACCACACAAAACTTCTGGCCAAAGCTTTCATTTTGCAAACACCAGGATGTTCTTCATGTAACATGTCTAAGAGGTGTTTTTGAAATTTAGTAGGAATGAGGACTCGATTTCCCCAAAGAATACAACCATTTTCAACTGAAAGTTCGTTCTTTCTCAGAAAGAAAGCTCTTAATGGCTCATCCTTATCTAAATGTGTAGGCCAGCCTTGAAGTGTCAAATCTAAGACTTTAGAAAACAACGGATCTCTTCGGGTTGCAAGACTTATTTCTTTTGCTGTGAGAGGTAGTTCTGGAAATGGAGCAAAAAACTGAATAACTGAAATATCTTCAGAGTTTGGGTCGAGTTTCTTAGGAAGACGTGAAAGAGCGTCAGCTTCTACAATTTCAGAACCTTTTCGATAGATGATGTGGTAGTCATACGCAGACAAAATTATTGTCCAACGTTGCATGCGGGCAGCTGCAAGAACTGGGATACCTTTTTTCTCTCCTAGAAGTGCTGTTAAAGGGGCATGATCCGTAATCAATGTGAATGATCGACCAAAAATATATTTGTGAAATTTCTTTACTCCGAATATGATAGCAAGGGCTTCTTTATCTAACTGAGCATAGTTCATTTCGGATTTTGTAAGACTTCGAGAAGCATACGCAACTGGTCGGACAGATCCGTCCGGCATAGTGTGAGACATAACACTGGCGATCCCATAAGGGCTTGCATCGCATGTCACTTGGATTTTCAACTTTGGATCATAAGGTACCAAAACATTACTTTGAGTTAAAAGCAGTTTACTTTCATTAAAAGCTTTTGAACATTCTGAATTCCATTGCCAGGGTTTGGCTTTATGAAGCAACTGATGCAACGGGTATAACACCGTGGATAGGTTAGGGAGAAAACGCCCATAAAAATTCAATAGGCCTAGATAGGCTCTTAGCTGGGTAACATCGGTAGGCTCGGGTGCATCCAAAATAGCTTTAACTAGTTTATCGGTAGGGTGTATTCCAAACTCATCAATCCTATGTCCAAGGAAATTCAAACTGGGTTTAAGGAACTCACTTTTCTGGTAGTTAGCCTTGATACCGAATTCTTTAAGTCGCACTAGAAGAGCTTCGGTTTTGTTTACTGCATCTTGCATGTTGTGGCCTACAATCAAAATATCATCCAGAAAACAGTATGTACTATTTAATCCTTTTAGGATGCGGTCCATGACCGCTTGGAACTGAAAAGGTGCACTCGTAATCCCAAAGGGTAGTCTTTTGTACCTGAAAAGACCTTTGTGGGTGTTTACCGTTAAGAATGGTTGCGATTTTTCGCCTACACCTAACTGCAAATAGGCTGAAGTCAAATCAATTTTTGAAAATATTTTCCCACCTGAAAGTTTTGTGAATATATCTTCTGATGTAGGGAGTGGATAATGCTCCGAATTTTTCAAGACTCGGTTTAAGGTTACTTTGAAATCCCCACATAATCGCACTGATTTTCCGTCAGGTTTTAAAACACAAACCAAGGGTGTACTCCACTGGCTATCTTTGACTGGATAAATGACATCAGATTTAACAAGATTATCAAGTTCTTTTTCGACTGATTCTCTTAAAGCATATGGAACAGGTCTAGCCTTACAAAAAATTGGAGTCGCCTCTTCATCTACAGCAATCTCAGTGGTGATACCTTTAATTAGACCCATTTGCCCTTCAAAAACATCCATAAATTTACTTTTCAAGTCATTTTCTATAGAAGCAGTAGAAGTAGAAACATTATGGCTAGACTTGCCTGCATTATTTCCAGATCCAACCTGTAATATCCTGTTCCAGTCCAACTTCAACTGATGTAGCCAATTACGTCCCAACAGTGCTGGCTGTCGACGATCGGTGATTCCTACAACCACTACAGGTAGATTGTAGTCCTTTCCTTCGTGCGAAACTGCGGCTTTGAACTCTCCTAAAACATCCAATGGGTGTCCAGTGTACGACTTCAGCTGCAACTCAGTAGGCCTTAAATTTATATGACTAAATTTATCATCATAAATATGTTTAGGTAAAACAGTCATAATAGCACCGGTGTCAATAACCATGTCCAATGGTTTGTCTTCGACCATCAAGGTGGTTCGATAATTATTATTTATGATTTAATATACAACAGTAGACATATCCAGTGGCCACCTAGAGAAGATGGCTAGACGTTTGCATGGAAGTGTTGGCCCTAGCGGAACCAATGCCGATCAATGGAAGAATATGTTGCTGCGCTATGGAGCACATAGCACTCGTTTACGGGAAGCAGTTGCATCGCTAACTCAATGGATGGCAAACGGGATAGACTGATGGAACTCGATCAGAGCTCTGTTAGCTAGAAGAGGACTAGCACTGAACAAATACCCTGGTATTCGTCCTATACGAGTTGGGGAAGTCTTGCAGAGACTATGTGCAAAAACCATGGCTTTTGTAACAGGTGACGATGATCAAGAAATATGTGGATCTGACCAACTTTGCGCCGGAACGAAAGCTGGAATAGAAGGTGCTACGCTATGACGGACCTTTTCCATGAAAATAACCAAAATTGTATTTTACTTGTAGATGCTTCAAATGCGTTCAAAGCTTTGAGCAGGCCTTTTAACTTTGTTGAATGCTAGGGTGGTTTGGCCTCGTTGCGCTCGTTTCCTATTCAATACATACCAAGGCTATGCAACCATTATGTTTAGAGGAAGTAATAAAATCATCCTTAGTCAAGAAGGAACCACTCACGGAGACCCCTTAGGGATGCTAATGTATGCAATTGGCACATTACCTTTGGTAAAAAAACTAAAAAGCCTAAATTGGAAGAAAAACTGACACGCTGATGATTTTGCATGTTTCGGTGAAACACTTTAAGTTAGAGAATGGTTTAACGCTTTACGCGTTGAAGGGCCGAAATGGGGGTATTACCCAGAACCCAAGTGTCTTGATAGTAAAACCTGAAAAGAAAAAGCAGAAAACATTTTCAGAGACCTTCAAGGGAAAATTGTAACATCGCACAGGTTTTAGGAGGTATTATTGGTAGCTAAGAAGAAAAGAAGGAATTCGTCAAAGAAAAAGTAAATAATGGGTTGATTGTATAAAGAAATTTGGCATAGTTGCACATACAAGTCCTCAAGCAGCGTATACTGCCTTTACAAAGTCATTACAAAATGAATGGGCATTTATTTATTTATTTCCCCAACGGATTGCACCTTTTTACAAAATATGTGTATACAATATGAGATGGCATTTGCAATATTACTAACTAGAAAAGTAATAACAATGGTAATAACAAAGTGATAATAAATAGTAATAGCAAGTAATAACAAATAGTGATAACAATAGTAATAACAAAGTAATAACAAATATTAATAACAGAAGAATAAACTAAATACCCCCGCCGCAGCAAACCTGCAGACTAAGCGAATTTCCATTTGACTGATTGGATTTACACTGAAATGTCTACTAAATAATATAACATTAATTACCTATTTAAATAGCATTAGTTTAACAAGTACTTAGGTTTGCTGCATCAGGGAGGGTAAAACTGTTTTTTTTTTGTTTTTTTTGTAAAATGTTAATAGTTAGTAAGAAATAAAAACATTTTCCAAATTTGATCAGTTTACTTATCCTCCATAAGAATAACATAGGAATTTTAAATTTAAATTTTTTTGGAATTTTCTCCGTAACCATTAGGCGTATAATAACGCTTCAATATACTAAATTATTTGTTTTTTTAAGCTCTACAAAATGGTTTGGAAAGAAATTGCTAAATTTTATGTTTTTTGGGTCAAAAATGGGAAAAACCTATTTTTACCCCATAAAACGCTCCGTAAACCCCCGTTCCCATGGTCCGATCAAGCTGGATCGCGAACTCGTTCGAATAAACGTAGGTTTACACGTTTGTACCAAATTTCATCAAAATCGGATCATTTTTGCTCAAGTTATCGTGCTAACGGACACACACATATATATATATATATATATATATATAAATATATAAACATATAAATATATAAATATATATATATATATGAATTTTAACGGATGGTGTTTTTGGCCTCTAGGGACCTCAAAACGAAAAAAAAAATCGGTCCCGCGTCCAGGTCTTACCATGAGTACTACGGTAATAGCTTATTCCCTATATGGGAAATTCGCTAAAAGAGTAACAATAAAGAATATGAACAGCAGGTTTTAACGATGACAAGACAAATATGCATAATTTATTTTAATTATATCTATTTATTTTTTTATATAATTTAATTTATAATTTTTTTTTTATTTCTCCAAAGAGTAACAGAGGGATTTAGTGAAGAATGCGAAGATTTAAAAACTGCCATACATCGCCATTTCACTCCCAACTTTTTCGAACAAGAGATTTCTGAACTTGAACATGATTCGTTCTCTCTCCCTACTCGTTGTTGGTAATATAATTTTATTCTACGTTCACAGAAGTACTCTATGTTAATATTTTATGTTGCGCTTGGCAACACTGAACCATAGACTAACCAATGTTTTATCTATGACTGAACTAATCGATCTCTATTATCGATGTGGGGAACACGGGGGCGACTAAGGCTAACATTATTAATCTTGTAGTGTCAGCGTTCACCGCTAGAACCGCTAAGTTGAAAAGATTTAAATTAATTTTTTTTTAATTTTTAGTTATAAAATTAACTTTTTATTTATAAAGTATTTTTTTTATTATAAAATAAATTTAAAATGTTTAAAATTAAACTGTCATAACATAACCTAACCAACCAGACTTGCTGATAATATAAAAACGATATAAGATAAAAATCCAAATAATGATTACATATTTATAATTTTTAATTATAAAATTAATTTTAAAATTTAGTATTATAAAATTAAACTGGCATAACGTAACCTAACCAACCAAACTTGTTGATACTATAAAAAGATATAAGATAAAATTCGAATATAGGTTCAATATTTAAAAAAAAGTTCTGTTCATAAATAAAATTATAATTGCATCAAATTCTAACAAAAGATGTACAGTTGAGAAGTATTCGCATTCTAAGAAAAAATCGTTGACAAAAAGTTAATATCCCCAGCTGATTTCGAACCCGGTACCTCCTGACCACCAATTCGAAACCCTACCATCTATGACACGAACGCCGCTGTAATCACATCGTCTCGTTACGGTAATCGTGGTTGCCTATAGTAAGTTTTCTGTTAAAGAAGACATTAGCCACTAGAGATATGACGTCACTACACCTTTAGCCTTAGTCCCTCCCGTGTGTCCATTCTGTCTACGACGTAGGTCGGTGGGGCACACGGGAGGGACTAAGGCTAACATATCCTGTAGTGTCAGCGTTCGCCGCTAGAACTGCTAATTTGAAAAAATTTAAATTATTTTTTTTTAATTTTTAGTTATAAAATTAACTTTTTAATTATAAAATATTGTTTTAAAATTATAAAATTAATTTTTAATTTTTAAAATTAAACTGTCATAACATAACCTAACCAACCAGACTTGCTGATAATATAAAAACTATATAATATAAAAATCTAATTAATGATTACTTCTAATTTTTAATTAGTTATAAAACTAATTTTAAAATTTAGTATTATAAAATTAAACCGTCATAACCTAACCTAACCAACCAAACTTGCTGATATGAAAAATTTGTTGACAAAAAAGTTAGTGCTGCCAGCGGGATTCGAACCCGGGACCTCCTGAACATCAATCCGTGACGCTACACACGACCAAAAAAATAATCCCGCTTACTGGGTCGAGAAATCCCGTTTTATCCCGCTTTTAAATTGGTGAAAAATCCCGTTTTATCCCGCATGATTTTTTTGGTACAAATCCTTGTATTAAACTTTACGTATCATTTTTATAAGTTGTTTAAACATCACTATTATATTTTGCTACAGTATTTAAACAGTTTGAGTTAGTTTTTCTCTAAAATTGAGTAGAAAAAATTAAAAATAGTCGTCACAGCCGAAAATCCCGTTTTATCCCGCATCCCGTTTTAATCCCGCTCAAGGTCCAAAAATCCCGTTTTCGGGATAATAATCCCGCGAATGGAAACACTGACTATGCCACGAACGCCGCTGAAATCACATCGTTTCGTTACGGTAATCGTGTTGCCTCAAGAGAATACATTAGCCACTAGAGATATGACGTCACTACACCTTTAGACTTAGTCCCTTCCGTGTGCCCATTCCCGACGGCACGATTTTTATTTCAGCTGCAGTTTTTTAATACGGACAAAATGAGAGTTTAAAAATTAGAAATTAAAAAAAAATTATTATAGGCCTAAAACTAAAAAAAATATATAATTATTTTTTTAATTAAACTGTCATAACCTAACTTAACCAACCAAACTTGCTGATAATGACAAAATTGAATGAAGGTTTACTAATAGAAAACCTATTTCTGTTCATAAGATAAAACTATAAATGCCTCAAATTAAATTTTATATTTTTTAATTATAAAATTAAACTGTCATAACCTAACCAAACTAACCAAACTTGCTGATAATAAAAAAATTGAATGAAGGTTTACTAATCGAAAAAATAGTTCTGTTCATAAAATAAAACTATAAATAGCTCAAATTCAATTTTATAATGTTTTAATTATAAAATTTAACTGTTATAACCTAACAAAACTAACCAAACTTGCTGATAATGCAAAAATCTTAGACAAGAAGTTTGTGCCCCCGATGAGTTTCGAACCTGGTACCATAAGATTCATAGCCCAGCACGTTAACCACTGGACCACCAAGGCCGATTGCTTCGTATCGTTTCATTGCGCTAATGGTGTTCCCTCAGCCAATAGAATGCTCTCATTTTATTGTTATTAAAATAACTGCAGCTGAAATAAAAATTGTGCTTCCCGACGAAGGTAGACTGAGTAGGAGTACTGACTGAACTCGAACTCAGTCTCTAGCCCTGCTGCTGACTCGAACTGACTGTCGACGTCGACTCGTCAACTCCAACTGAGAACTGAACTGACGGACTCGGCGGACTGAGACTCCTTGTCTTCTTGTCTTGTCGGACGACGGACGGAGACGGAATCCATGTTGAAGATGAGCTTGTGTGTTTATCGAACGTTTAGTTTGTAAGGAAAATGAGCTTTGTTATAAAATTAATATCAAGGTAAGTTAATGGATAGTTTAGAGTTCGTGTAAAAGTTACTACATTTGCAACTATGATATACTTTGGGTTCTAAAATATCGGGTTTTCTCTCTTAGCAACCAGTGCTTATCAAGTTGCGGAACTGACTCCGTGTTAGGCCTATCAATAATTTTGTGTTGACTAAGTTAAGTATTAAAAATATTCCATCTATACTTTAGAAAAATCGACACCGAAGTTTTTACAAAGAGGCTTCGTCCTCAAAAGCCAATCTTTCTAAAGGTGTTTCAAGTGTTAAGCCTAAGCTAGGCTAATAATTCATTGGTATTTAACTCCATTGTAGGCTTGCTGTTTATACTTGAATATGCATAAATCCTTAAGTTATCTAGACCTACAGTCGAAGCCTGTAGTTGAAATTGGTATTTATTCTCTATAGGTGCCTCCAAACGAATTTTTAATTTTGATATGTTACTTTATAGTTTTTTATCTCCTGAATCAAAATATAGGCTAGAGTTACTTTAGGTCCTACACTCATTTGAATGAAAATATCGTATATTCGATTGTTTCATTTGATATATCGTTTGGTTAGTTAGGTAAGGTTAACCTAACCTAACTAACCAAACGATATATCAAGCAGTCCACTTGTTTCATTCGATATATCGTTTGGTTAACCTTACCTAACTAATTAAACGATATATCGAATGAAACAATCGATTAATCAATATATCGATCAATATTTTCATTCGGATGAGTGTAGGACCAAAAGTAAAGTGCAGCCGGTTAGGGTACCATTATTTTTCACCGCTGGTGAATATTTTTCAAGATTTTGCCTTAAAAATATACAACATTACAATAAACAAGGTAGGATGGATAACATTTACAAGTGGAATGAACTGTGGGTTATCTAAGCCTTAGTTACAGCTGACAGTTTTCAACGGTAATTCTGAGCAATTACTTGGTCAACCCCAATTTTTTTCATATTTTACTACGGTCATCAGGAGGTTCTCAGAAAGCAAGAAACATATAATTCAAGCCCCGCAAGGTTAAGTTAGGTTAGGTTAGGTTAAGTTAGGTTATTAATTAACCTAACCTAACGTAACGGTACTGTTACAATTGGCCTTAGAGATGTATTTGAGACTAAAAAAAACATAATAAGTTAGGTTAGGTAAGTTAGGTTAGGTTTAGTTCGGTTATTAATTGCCTCAGTATTCGCCGGGAGGATTGTCGGAGGAACCACTAGCCATATCCATAACGGTACTGTCACAACTGGCCTTCCGCGCGTCTCCCGCAAGCCACTGTTATCGCTTGGACTTTGAACCTTCTTATCGCTCGGCAACCTGTACGATGGCCTGGCGGGCCTTGAATTATATGTTTCTTGCTTTCTGAGAACCTCCTGATGACCGTAGTAAAATATGAAAAAAATTGGGGTTGACCAAGTAATTGCTCAGAATTACCTTTTCAACCACACGACAAGCAACTGGAAGTAACAACTTTTGAACTTTATTAACTCACTCTGATTCTGTCATCGGCAACGGCAATATGCCTAGTGAGTGACGTCATTTTACCTCACTACAACTAAAACACAAAACAAAAATACTCATTCTCATACGTGCTGCTTAAGTTATTGCTAGTCTGCTACGCCGTCACAAGTTCAAGGTTAAGTGAAGAGAGTAACATGGTTGATGAGAAGAATAAAGTCTTTGATTAAACGTGATAACATCGTTGTAAAACATTTCTAGTGATTCTGTAGTCAATAATGTTGTCTATAACTTGGGCCTAAAAGGAATTTCATCACATTGTGGAGATATGGATGGACTGGTGGACTAATTACATGTAGGCCTAGTTCTTATTTAGGCATGTCAGGGTGGTAGGTCGTGCTTTATGTGAATTGGTGACTGCATTAAGTCCTTTGAAGTTAGGTTAGATAGGTATGTTAAAGTTTAGGTTATCGAGTTGTTAGTTTATGTCTCCTCCAGACTGTTTTTGTAAATTAAAATTAAAATTCTGAAAAATTCACTTCAAATTACTATTAGGCCTAATGCTTATTTTTGAAACAGTAATTTGAAGTGAATTTCTCAGAATTTTAATTTTATAAAAACAGTCAGGCGTCATAGGCTAAACTAACAACTGGAGGCACAGCTGATCAACGGAATGGAGTGGGGTAAACAGTCATTGTCGTCGACCAGTTCAGTGACGTGTGCCGGCCATCCAATTACCTACGTTAAATGTCTACCGTGTTCGTGTTATGTTTGTTTGTGTGTTAGATGTATTTAAGATTTGACGACATTCAATGAATGTAATACTTTAACGTTCCGTTTTTGATAATGCCTACGTAGTACTCGAAACTAGTCAACGGGTATTGACTAAGGAATTGTGGACGTCAAGGTACGTAACCTGTTATAAAATGGATTAAGTTGGATACTCAGCAATTGAGAAATTCTTAATGGTGGTTCTAAGTCTAAATGAAAGTTTTCTTTTTTGTGGGCCACTAATGAGAAAAACTGGGTTTTATCCCATAAAACCCTTTTCCCTTGGTCCAATTATGTTGGTTTGCGAACTTGTTCTCGAGAATAAACAAAGATTCAAGCGATTGTACCTACAAATTTCATTGATAACTTAAAGGATAATTTTTTGACAAGATAAGTTAAGTTTATCGTGCTAACTTAATGGACATTACCTACCTATATAGACCATATATATAGGCCTATTTATGAATTTATCGTATGGTGTTTTTGGCCTCTGTGGACATCAAAACAAAAAAGAAAATCAATCCTGGGTCCAGGTCTTACCAAGAGACCAACGTTAATAGGTTATTTCCCTTAAGTTAACTTATGAGAAATTTGCTTAAAACATGTTAACTTATTCCCATGCATGGGATTTATTGATTTTTCCAATACTAACTTGTAGCATTGGACAAGAATGAGAGGCTAGGAGATAATGAAAAGAAAATTCATTGAGTTAACAATAAATTAACCCTTCCCGGACGGGTGAAATCATGACATAGGACGGGGAAAAATTGAGGAAAAAATAAAAATTAATTTTTAATATTTTTGTTTTGTTATACAAGTATACATAAAAGAAACACAGTGGAACACATCATACTGTCAAAATAATTTACCCGTCCACGGATGAGTAGACATGCAGCGGATATCCGCCACCCGTTTTTGAAGATATGACCATGACAACATTAAGCAATAAATAAAGAACAATATGTAAACAATAAATAGAGACAACGTAATGTTGAGCGCAAAACGTCGAGGGGGGGAGCGTAGGAGTGGTGGTAGATGCGCGGGAGGGGGTGAGGCGCAGGAGAGGGGTTAGCGTGGTAGAGAGGAGGGAGTGCGGGGGAGAGCGCAGTCATGGAAAGAGCAGGAAAGTGGCGCCTTGGCACTCCGAAATATCTGGTTACTGCTCAAGCACCTGCCATGCCGATATAACCGCTTCCCGTCCGGAGCATCAAAAACCATATGCGGATATATCCGTCACCTGCCCTTTATCACCAAAGACTTATGCGCATATATCCGTTACCCATCTGCGAAGGGTTAATGATCATTTTAAAAAATCCTCGTATTTTGGAATGATATATCTATTGGTTTTAACCCACTAAGTTAAATTTAACATTTGCTTAGGCTATTTAAATTGTACAAAACATTCTGGGGTTAACTTAATAAATGAAAAACTCAGTTTAGGCTAACCTAAACTTAAACTTTATTTAAACTAGTAATTAACACTACTCTCAAAAGTCTTTAAACATCCACAAACCCATATTAATCCTGACCTATCTTCCTCACAAGCCTTTTCTAACACCATATTTAACGTTTTATTCTAATTTCAACTTTGTAACACTTTTAAGTTGTTACATACCCTATAATGGACCTGGCGGGTTGGGTTTGCTAATTAAATTTGATTTAAATAGGCTTTTTATTCAAAGGGCCCCAGTCGATCATACTCATTAAATTAATTCAAGTTTGGTTTGCCTCAGACCCATGAAGTCTGCAGCAACACACCTATAAGCAAGGACAATAGGTCTACTGTCTGTTGCCAAAAAAGTACCCTATTACATTTATTTCTGAATATTATATTACATTAAATGAGCTACCTAGATTATCGATTTGTTACAGGACGTTTTAAAACTACACTATCGCCCAATAGCAGTGTTGATAACACAATGGTAGAAGAGAACAGTGCATCATCACCAGCAGCACCCCAGCCATCCGCAATGACAACGGCTGTCACCGCTAGCACGACCACACCGTCTAGAGTACAACTGAGTGACCAACAGCTCGAGACCATCTCCAGGGACGAACTTCTCGCCCACTGGAAACAGCAAGACGCTTATATTGACACACTGCTCGCTCAGGCAACTGGCCTCGAAGGTAGAAAATTATTGTGGTTCCGTTCTATGAATGATTGCTTTTCGTTACATGGTACGGTAACTGTACTGTTGAAACTCACATTAGACTCAGTGTTAAAGAGATTGTTGACTGAGTTTAGTGGGACGTCGAGACTCTGTGCTGAGATATTACTCTTAACTTTTTATATTATTTTAGTTTCAATGTGTTCGAGACATTTGACTGTTCATATAATAATCTTAGTTATTTTTTAAATATGAGATTTTATCGGTCAAGCTAGAGACTTTAGTTGATGCGATCTTTCAAAACCAGTCTACAGCATTTTGTAAGTGGTGGTTTGTTATTAGAATGTACCTTTCTTATGCATAGTTTAGAATTATAGATTTAACAAACTATAATAATGAAGGTAAAACAAACTATTAATTAACTAGCCTTCTTACCTTCTCGTAGACAATTTTGTAAATTTGGTTTTATGGCTTGCTAATCATTTCTTTTAACTAATATTTCAGTTCCAGTGCACATAAAAAAAAATATTAGGCTTCAGCTCAACTTTACTTCACCAATAATTGTTTTAGATCTTAAATAACCTACTTTTACCAATCAAAATGCCACTTAGTTTCCGGTATTTATTTTAACTATGAAAAAATAAGTCATCAATCTAGTATCTTTTTCCTAATTAATTTTGACTTTCAAAGATTTAAGATTTTTTTAAATATTAAAATATTAATCAAAGTTGTTAACTTGTAGCCTAATTTCTACCTTGAACTTTATTCTTAAGTTAGAGCCTTCATCTAAGTTTTAACCTGAGATTATGGATGAAGGTTTTGCTATTAGTTAAGTATTGATTTAAAGATTCAAAGATTAATTTCAACAAGATACAAGATTGCACACTTGTACAGTTGACGTCATGGTAAGACTAACAATAGTAGAAATTAACAGTGGTGAATATACATCTAAGGATCAACAATAACATAGGTACTATACAACTTTATAGAGGGTAACTAGGTAGGCCTATGTTACCTTATTTAAGAGAGTACCTATTATACATTTATAGGGTACCTTCTTTAGAGTATTTACCACGCATATATAGTTGAGATAATTTAAATATTAAGTCTTGAATATTTTTTTTTTTTTACGTTTACTTGCTCTTTGTTGGGTGAATATAAATAAATTGGTGTTTTTTTATCGCTAATCTATTAAATTCATAATCTTTATTCAAAATGGAATTGGTGATTAATAAAATAAATGTGAAGTGCTTTGGTGCTTCGAAAAATGTGCGCGACAAGAGGATGTGTTAAGTGCTCGTTTATTGATCTTCGCAGCTCTTCAAACTCTTCAAAAGTGTTTTTATAGTGAATCTCTTAGCATCAGTTCCCATATTATAGTGATTTGATTTTGTATCACAATAGAAATCATTTTTGATTTCATGGTAACATGTCTTGATGCATGTTTTGACATTGCAGCTATTTTTTGTATGAAAAGCCAATGGTGTCCAAATAAAATAGTTTGAAATTAACGCCAAATTTGGCAATTTCTTGGAAGATTTTTTATTTAATTTTAAAGCTTTAAATTTTCAGTTAATGATAAACTTGTGTGAATTTGAAGGTAAGTCCTACAGGTAATGTATTGTCTCAATATTAAGCCACCATAGTTATAGGTGTGACATGGATCACTAAGTCTAAGTCCTAATCCAGACTGTTTACATTGGATTTGGATAAGTATTTAACTTAACAATATTGTACTTCGCCTAACCATCCTATCCCATTACTACCACCCTAACGTTTAACCTTATCTAGGTAGGTTAGGATGATACTTAAATGAATAATTATTAAGCAACTCTTATAATAGCAATTTCTCATTTTGCATATAATAAGTTGTAATATAATAAAAATAAGGTAATTAGGCCCAGGATTGGAATAAAAACAGTAACTTATTTTTATAGAAATATTTAATTGATAAAAATGTTAAGATCTCAATACAGGGTGTTTTTTTAAAACTGTGCCACCATTGAGATCTTGTAAACGATACATCTTAAACTAAAACTAAGACGTAAACTTGAAATAGGGTATATTCCCTTGTTTTTAAAGAGGTTTAAAAATAAGTAGGCCTAAATAAAATGTTTGTAAATTGCCACCATTTTCCAATATGTTGGTCAACTTAGTTTTTTCTTATGGAATACAGTATATTTTATGGTGTTTTCGGATAGTAAATGAAAATCTAAGACTTTTTTATTCTTGAGTAAATTTTTATATACTCAACGGTTTACAAGCTACAAAAAGAAAAGTTTTAATTTAGTCTCTCTTAACAGCTGCTATTATTAAAAAGAAAAACAATAAAAAACTATGACAACTTAAAAACCACAAGGAATTTTTATAAATGGTTCAGTGAACAACAACTATTCTCAGACTGCAAGTTACACAATATGTTAGTAAGGTTAGGTATATTGTTTATTATTACAACAATGCTAGTAAACAGCTGACAATGGAAATGGTCAATAGATTAATAACAGCTGTTAGGAGAGACGAAATTAAAACTTTATTATCTCTCTGTAGTTCGTAATCCGTTGAGTATATCAAAATTTACTCAACAATTAAAAATTCTTACATTTTCATTTACTAATCCGAAAACACCATAAAATACAGGGGTTACCATAAGAAAAAACTAAGTTGACCACCATATTGGTAAATGGTGGACATTTATAAAGATTTTATTTACTTTTTTTTAAACCTCTTTAAAACAGGGGAATGTTCCCCATTTCAAGTTTACTGTAGTATGTATCGTTTACAAGATCCTTATGGTGGCACACTTAAAAAACCCTGTATATCTGATAATATTACATTTCAGGATATCAATATAATATTGGAAATATTGCAAAACTTTTTACATTGATATCCACAAATAGGATATTATTGTAACATCCCTCCTAGCTTAGGTAGGCTACCTGATCAGAGGAGTAGACAGGGCTGTCCTTGTGAGTAAATCATGTTGATGACAGTTAAATATGGAAATGTAGTGAATACTTTGAAATTTCATTAATGAATTACAAGATAACTTAATGTATTTATCATAAGAAAAACAATTAGGCCTACTTGTACTTGTACGTTTGTCCCATGTAAAGCCACTGGAAGTGTTTGAATTGGAAAATTAAGCAGTTCAATAGTTAGAGTTGGCTAATTAACAAGGGACAAACACACAACTGTTTTTTTTTTTTTTTATTATCTTTATCCTTATCGAATATAAAGTTTAAAAAAAAAATTATTATTATTTATTAGGCCTATATTTTCAAATTATCTATTACAAATCCACTTTTTAAGTGGGCCCAACCATTGTCAGGGTGTCTAGTAGTCGGGCAAGTCTGGAATTAGTATTGAATTTCGAAATGGTCTTGAATAGTCGGGATTTAGTCTTTATTTTGATATCAAAGTCGGGAATTTTCATGATTTTGCCGTGATTGCGCAAGACGACGATCACTTTTTCGTGACCATGGAAGACGATAATGATGTCTACACGGCCGCGGAAGATGTTCATGGGTTTTCTGCGATTGCGCTAGACGACAAACACGTTTTCGTGACCGCAGTAGATATATATTCTTTTGCCACGATCGTGCTAGAAGGCGATCACGTTTTTGTGACTGCGGGAGATATTCATGATTTTGCCACGAGACCGCTTGAGACAACAGTGATGAGTATACGGCCGCGAAAGATGTTCATGATTTTGCCGCATTTGCGCTGGACGATAATCACGTTTCCATGACCGCTGAAATCGATAATGATGTCTAAATGGCCGCGGGAGATAATCAGAATGATAATGTCTACTCAGCCGTGGGAGAGGATTTAATGATTTGCCATGATCGCGTAAGAAGACGAAGATGTTTCCGTGACCGCGGGAGTCGATGATGGTGACTACACGACCGTAGGAGATAGTCATAATTTAGCTGCCATCGCAGGAGGAAGTTATTTTGAATCCCAGAAGTAAACCATGATGACGGCAGATGCTTGATTAAAAATATCAAGCTGGCTCACCTTTGATATGGTAGTTATTTCCTGCGTTGAGAAACCCTTAAACTTAAATTGGCCAGTTAGAATTTTTTATTGCTGCCTTGTTTTGACAAAGACCTGGGGTTGGTGTAGTATAATTTTTTTTTATTGGTAAAACTAATTGGTATCAAGAACTGAGAATTGATTCGTTTTAGTATTGAAACATCACTAATTGTTGAAAAAACTAGAGTTGAAAACTCTGGAAATAGGCGGCTAGTCTTGAAAAGTCTGGAGTTAGTCTTCAATTTAAAAATGGAATAAACTAGACACCCTGTGTTCTGTTTCTCTCTCCTGGTCAGGTAGCCTACTTCAACTTAACCTGAAGGCACAAAAAAGGCTTTGTCCACTTTACTCAGAATTATTAGAGACACCCTTTTTCTGATTGAAGGGTAATTTTTCTGTAATCTTAGGAATGCCAGAAATAAAAGTTCTGTTGAATAAAACGATTCCTTTTGGCACTTTTATACTGATTTCTTCTGGCATTTATAGAAAAACTAATTTTAGCACTCCCTGTTAGAACTGAAACCCGATATGTTGATGCCAGCTGTGCAAGAAATATTTTTAAAGGTTTGTAGGTCAAATCGTCAAATGAATTATCACTTGCCACACATAATTTCTTGACTTTTTAAGTGAAATTCAATCCTGGTCAATTTGTTTGATAACTGTTCAGTCAAGTTTGGTCTGCTAATGTTGTTTGGTATTTATTTAGCGTTTTAAATCCAGGAAATGTCTTTGTAATGATTTCTCTTGTAAAACTTCTAAATTAACATTGGTTTTTGTGAGTTGTTAAAGTATGATTATTAGTGTGTTTAAAAAAATCAATTGTGCCAGCTTTTTTATCATCACAAATAAAATTAGTTTGGAATAACATTGTAGAACCGTATGAACTAAACATTTTCTTTATTTAGAGTAGGTCTTAAAAATTTTTTTAACTAACATTGTTTTTTATAAAATTGTATTCTTTAGCCTAACATTTTCTTGATACTGTACTACTATTGACACAGGACCTGAACGTGTAAAAGAAAGAAAAGCCTCCACTCAAAATGGTAATGTTATTGGGCTCGCAGACTAATTTTTTTACTATGTTGTCGATGCCCATTGCATGTATATGCACAATAAAATAAAGATTTACTTTATCAGACAAATTTGATAAAAGACTTTATTTGTCAGCATTAATGACTTGCCAGTTAAATTTTATACTTTTTATTATGTTTAATTAAGCCCCAAAGTAAAAATCACAACTATTTTTTTTCTTTCATTTTTGTGGATATGCCAGAGGTTAGACTAGTTTTTGGAAAAATCTGGGTGAGTTTAGAGGTACCCTGCACCTTGTGCCTGCTCAAAGGTTGAGTTTTAATTAGAGAGGCTGTAGTGATTATCATTCAGATATTTTTTTTTGTTTAAAAAAATTGTGTTGATCCCCATTTTTAGATTACTTAACTGAAGATATTTTTCACTACACAGTACTTGATTAGACAACTAGTATGTCCAAACTAAATATCCCAGTTACTGACCAAGCATATTTTCATTAACTTGCTTCATTGGGTTTATTCAAGCTGGTTCATAATGAAATAATCGCACACCTAAATCAATTTTGATAAATATGACTCAGTGCAGTGAGTCGTTGATGTTGCTGCTACTAGAGACACATCTAATTGTGTTAAAAATAATGCGTAGTGAGTTCATAATGGAGTGATACGATCTTGTTACTTTCTTATCAACTAAGATCATTGGATTTTTCAGTCTGGTCCTTGATCAAAAGCTCAATGATCAATGATAGCTGGTTCTATCTTTCAAACATCAATAATTACTCACATTTCAGAAACCAGTTACCTATTATTAATAGGCAAATACTAAAACCCCTAATTACTCATCTTAAAACTTATCAGATATTTTCAATGTGTTTACTGTAGTACCATTCGTATTGAAACAAGTCAATTTTACTCCAGAGTTGGGCTAATCCAAACAAATTTGTGATGGACCCTTATTTACTAAATTGGTCTAGGCATATTTTAATTTTTTAAATAATTATATTACTACCTATTACTATTTTTACCCACGGCCACAATCACAATGAACGTTTGGCCATCTCCCACGATCACGGACACATTGTCATCACCGACATGGTGATGGCCTTTGCGATTGTGGAAATCAAGTATGTGTTTAGATATCAGAACACCCGTGATAATCTCCTGCGACCACAGTTAAAAAAAAATTATGATGACCTTATCGTAACCAACAGAATGTTGTTTGTGGATGGATGCTTGGCCATAAGCTTTGGCGGTTATTCAGAATTTCCTTTTCATAAAAATTCATCCACCCCAGTTTTCTCAGTTAGTATTTCAGACCTTGGTTAGTATTTCAGAACTCATGCATATAGCTTTGTTTTTAATTAAAATACTGTAACCTTTTTTCTTAACATATAATTTGGATGGGGTACTGCATATTTGCCTACACAAATTCCTCAAAGTAAAAGCACTCCTGCAATTGAAAAAGGAAATTATTTTACATACAGTGTGATTGAAAAGTCCCGGAACGGTGCAATATATAGTTTACTATTTTACATAAAGTAATAAAACTTGATACTGTATATCAATAATAACTATAAATGTATACTCTTTCAAGCTATTAATACTTTTTTACATCTTAAGGGGGACCGCCCATGAGGAGCAAGACAAAATTCTCAAATACAGTAGCAGCATAGGTTGAATTTGGAATCAGATTAAAGGTCCTTTTTAGTAAAACACATTTGTAAGATAGATAATAGAAAAAGCTAATAGAAAAAACAGGCGACCATAAAGCAAGGAGCCACTTAATACAACGAATTGCCATGGCCATACAGAAAGGAAATGCCGCCAGCATAATTGGTTCCACACCCACAGACGACGACCTTTCATCAATATTTTACTTGTAAAATTAATGTAAGAATTAAATTTTGTCTATTTGTGAATAAATTAAAATAATGAAACCATTTGTAAGATATCAAACTGCAGGAATAAAAATATTGTCAATGTTTTTTTTAAGGAATGATGTCGTGAATTTAGCTGTAGTTGGAGAAACTAGAATTACAGCATTTACAACTTAACTTTTTCCAGTCTTGTAAATATAGGCCTACTGATATTCAGTCGGTCTATTATATAGCCTACATATTACTTAAATATATTATTATTCATTTTTGAAGTTCTGTCTTGCTATATGATAGCAGATGGGTATTGAATATTTTCTAATAGTGGTATGCCCATTTAATTTGTGGTTAATTAATTGATTTTACAAAATATGTAACATTCTGCTGTTTTTCGTCTTTGGAAGATATTCAAAGTTCTGTCCTAGATTCATTAAGTAATTGCACTTTTGTGATTGGTATGGATTTTTTATTAAGACCTTTTTAGGAATTAAGAATAAAAATGTAAAGCTCAAACAATAGTTGGTTGTTAAAAAACCAAACTGGTACCTAAATCAATTATTTAAGTGGAAACTTATTTGTTGATTTCAATTCCATTATTTTCTTGACAAATTGTAGTTTTTGCCATTGATAATGTTATTAACTATTGATATCTTCACAGAACTGCACATTTTGCCGCATCTCAGGCCAGGGATATGCCATAAACCTGCTATCATCTTCTCACCCATCTCTGTCTGCCATACATCATTGTGCTAGTGATTGTGTTAAGTGCCTAGTGATGTGACGAGCGATTTCAAGTGATCATAGTGTGTCAAATATAATGAAAATGTAGGCATACAGTTTGCCTTACGTCTAGTTTGCATACTTTTAAGCTACAGTTATTGTATGTATTTCAGCTTTTGTTATTGTCATGTTTTAGCTTTAGTCATCAATGAAGAGCGATTTTTTTTTTCTTTCCAAACAAAAAAATCCTCTGATTTTATTATTAAAAAATCAAATTTACCACCAAAATTTGATGGTTAAACATACTTGTAACATTCCAACACATAAAGGAACTACACATCTTAGACTAGTTTAGTTAATTGAGGATAGGTTGTGCAGCCTATATATATAGATTTGTATAATCTACCTCAACATAACCTAATTTTCCCAATCAAATAACTTATTATTTCTAGGTCCAGGTAATTGAATAAGCAGTAGCTTCTTCTGTATGTAGGCCTGTATCTTAACGCTTTCTAAATAATCCATTAAACGTTTTTATTATGAAGGGCTATTTCAAAATTAATATGGTATATACCTTTAATTTTACAATTTACTCTTCATAGGATCTCAAATAAACTTACAATTTTGTAGATCGTGTATTATTAACTTATGGTGTATGTAAGACTTAAAAACTACTTTTACATTTACTGTTGGTTATTTGTACATTTGTGCAGTAAAATCATTGATAAAACTAAAATGTTTAACTAAGACAAACTACAATTTTGTTTTAACAGTTCAATCAAAATATATTTTGAATTCATTTTATTATTTTTAAACATTTAATTAGAATGTAACAGTTAAAATAGCGAATTAATTAACTTTCATCTTAAAAAATTGCTGCATTAACGAATTAAAATTGTTAGAGATAATTTATTGTGGTGTTGCTATAAAACAATTTTGAAATGGCACATTAATTTTACACTATTATGTAAGAGCTGCCTATGTCATCTTGTATGAAATCCCAGGCCTAAAACTACTCAAAACAGCTACAACTAAAATAATGCATTGAACTAAATATCGCAAACAAACATTTTTTACAACAGAAATATCTAGATATGTACCTATACAAATTTTTCTGTCTATCTGTACAATTTTAAATAAGTGTACTGTACAATATGACTGTTTTGTTTCAATTCAAACAAACCAACTGTTTGTAAATACTTTAGCAAGAGTAGCACTAGTTTGTAATTAGTATATACAGCTGTGTCTCATATCGTGAAGAAAAGTATAATACCTTCGAGTGCTGTGAAAGTGGTGATCCAAGTGCCTAATATAAGAATTTGTTTTTCTCTTTTTCTATAGTATCCTTCGAAGATGAGATTTTCTATTCTCTATCTTTCACTAATTTTTAAAGAGATCACTGTAAAAAAAGAAGAAAAACAAATTTTTTCCTTACGGTGTAGTGTCAAGTGCTACTTGGGTAACCTGGATCGGTGAACCGGTGAGATTGCGCTTGTATGACAATTAACAACGGTCTACCGACTGCTACGGATCACATTTAACTGGTCATCTCTTCTCTGATTCAGTGTCCGTCTGGAAGTAAGTTGTAGCATCGCTAGTGAAGTGTTAAATCATGTATCATGACGCTAGTACCGGCCGCTGACGTCAAAGGGTTGAATCAATAATTTGATCTTCTGATAGAGTTCTGTCCATGATAATCTTATGGCAAGACTGTCCTAAAACAAAATTATCTCGCAAAATTATTCTAACAGATTTTGATCAGCTGCTTCGGTACTAGCTCCACAGTTCTTAGTCGATAACTTGTCTTGATTTATTTTTCAGCTAACTGAATTGCAGTTGTTAATTCATGTGTAAATCAACTAGGGGTAATAACAATGATTTTTGTTTTAGTGGAAATATCGTCCCTTAAAGAGTCGGAAGAGCGACATAAACAACAAACTGCTGATCTTCAACTCAGGGAGAAGATGTATGTCAGAAGACTGGCAGCTAAAGAACAAGAGATGCAAGAGTATGCTGTAAGTCAAAACACTTTATAGAATTTGAAAAATGTATTCTTTACTCTATTTTCAAGACTGTCTACACAAAACCTTTCGTAATTGCAAAAACCTTGTCATAATTTCCTACCCAAAGTTTTGTAACCTGGAGATGACTATCCAGATTCCTTTTACATTAATTGTGATAAAATATATGATTCATGGTGTTATTCTTAAATTCTGCTTATGAATAGCACTTGATCAACTCCACCGTTCTTATTTGTGATATCCACTGATCTAATGACTTAAACAGTTTTTTTTTAGATTGTAATTTCTAGATGTTGAATCCAACTCACTTGCTAACCATTTCCCTGTTTGATCTTCTGTGAGAATTCTGGGTGTACAAAAATCACTTTTTTTCAGAAATGAACATTTTTATTGCAGTTTTTAAACTCCCTAACACATTTTCTCACTTCACTCTCATGCATTGCATCAGGGCCATAAACCACAATCATCTGGCAATGAGTGTCAGCATCGGATATGTTTCTTATGGTCAAAAAACGTATCACTAACCTTATCTCGCATGGGGCAGAAAATTCAATAATTTAACAATTTTCTCGACACAGCAAAGCGTGCACTTAAGCTATAGAGCTGCAAATGGTGTGATTCTTTTCAAGAATGATGCTAAGAAGGGGCACGCCGTCTCATTGTGTAGTACTTGCTAACTACGGAGCTATATGCACGAACGGCCCTTCATGATAATATATTTATTTAATTTGGTGAATTTGGAATAGATCCAATTCACTTATGGGATGGCAAATCTAGACATTGTTTTTATCAAAAGTTGTTAAAAAACGAGGTCTACATTGTGAAGTCTACCTCACAACTCTCTAGCTATTCTAGTAGCCTAGGCTACTGAAACCAACACTGAAAGAATGTAGTAATTTACCTGTAAAATAGACCTTACGGTAGGTTTGTTATGGTCCCTGTAGTTTGTTTTCTGTTTTTATATGCAGGGACAACTGTCTGAGCTCAAGGCAAGGGAAGCTCCTGGTGTGTCTGCACTGAGGTCTGCGTTGTTGGATCCCGCAGTCAATCTGTTGCTGCAGAAACTGCGTCAAGAGCTGACTGCCACACGCACACGTGTTGAGGAGACACAGAATGAGCTCAGCGCATGGAAGTTTACTCCAGACAGGTAAGTTAAAAGGCAGTTGGCTAAGTACCAAATTTTACTGACACCTGACACCCAGTGTTGAATTTATATCTCTTTGTGAGAATCGCCATAGAGACAAATATTTTCTGCTTTTTTTTGACTTACCCACCTTGCAATCTACCTGAAAGATATAGGCCTATGCCTGTCCTGGCTTCCATCAAAGTAAACTGTAAGCCAGCTAATAGATATTTTTTGGTTAATACTGCTTGAGTAATGTCTTGGGATGGATTCATAAATACAAATATGTCCTTAATCTAGATTCCCTTCGTAAAATATTATATTTCTGCCTTAACAGGTACTAATTATGGTTTAAAAGTTACTGAGGTTTTAATGGTTGAAATTTTGAGGGTGCTAACACAAAAAATATCAAAACAACAAATTAATGTGATGGTTATCTTATAGAGATATTTTTAACGAGTAAAATTACTTCAGAAATAATATTCTTTGGTTGTTTTAGAAAACTGAAAGCATCAAATTAATATGTCTGACTTTAAAATGTCATTTAAGTCTGGAATTTCTAGAAGCTTTCTTCTGCTTGACTTATTCTGTTCAAATTTTCAAATACTGTATTTGAAATCTTTACCTGCACATTTATTACTTCCTTCATTTAGTGAACTATTCCTATACCTATTCCTATAGTGATTTAGTTGTCCTTCCTATACACTAGCTCGACTTCGTAATATAGATTACGTAGATTTTTCTTTACAACAGGGAGGAATGTTTCTGAAAATGGTTTTAATTAATGGCTTTTTATTGAGTGAACACAGGCTACTTGGTCACAGATGGTTTAAATTGCAGTTGGTTGGTTCCTGTAAAGGAATTTATTACTCTTCAACCATCTTTCAACAAACTCCGTGTCATATCAGCACTGTAACCATTTGATCTATTTGCAGCAACACAGGCAAGAGATTGATGGCCAAGTGTCGTCTGTTGTACCAAGAGAATGAGGAGTTGGGCAGAGTGATAGCTAGTGGCCGAGTGGCCAAACTGGAGGGAGAACTTGCCCTGCAGAAGAGCTTCAGTGAAGAGGTCAAGAAATCACAATCAGGTATGTCACGGTTCTTTGTTTTCCTTGGTTGTTTTTTGTTTTAAGCGTTATGATTGAATTTAGCTATTTTACATGAGAAAATTGTCCAGGGGCTTATAGGTGCACAATAAAAGGTTACACAATATAAAGATTTTTTCTCTTGGCTTTTTAAGCTGAGAAGTTATCCAGGGGCTTATAGGTACACAAATAAAGGTTACACAAAGTAATGGTTTTTGTTCTTTTAGTTACTTTAACTGAGAAAATTGTTGAGGGGCTTATAGGTACACAATTGAAGGTTACACAATGTTAACGATTTTTGTTCTTTTAGCCATTTTAGCTGAGAAAATTGTTGAGGGGCTTATACTCGTAGATACATAATTAAAGGTTAAACAAGTTAAGATTTTGGTTCTTTTAGCTATTTTAGCTGAGAAAATTGTTGAGGGGCTTATAGATACACAATTAAAGGTTACACAATGTTACGATTTTTGTTATTAGCTCTGAGAAAACTGTTGAGGGGCTTATATATACACAATTAAAGGTTACACAATAATGAATGAATAAAGTGCTTTATTTGAAAATAAACATTCCTCTCATACATATAATCAAACACTTCACAAACAATGGTCTATGACCGTCTGTTTGGTTGGAACACCTGGAAAACACATTTATGAAAATGAAGTTGAAACAAAATACACTTAATACACAAATTTACATACAATTTTACATCCATTTTAAACAAAACAAAAAAAAACCTTTTTCATAATATTGTTTACATAACTTGTATTATTTTATTTTTTTTAATTATTAGGTTTTAAAAGGTTTACGCATAATGAAATCTATAAAAACTACTATGAATATTCAAGAAGACAGGCTGACAAGTTATTTGACATAATTATTGTTTTGCTAGCCTATAATTTATAAATTAGAAATTTATAAATTTATAATTAAATTATAATTTATAAATTCTCTTTCTAATTTATAAAATATAAAGGTTACACAATATAACAATTTTTGTTCTTTTAGCTATTTTAGCTGAGAACATTGGCAAGGGGCTTATAGATGCACAAATAAAGGTTACACAATGTAACAATTTTTGTTATTTTAGATATTTTACCTGGAAAAATTGTTGAGGGGCTTGCAGATATACAATAAAAGGTTACACAAAGCTACGTTTTTTGTTCTTTTTAGCTGTAAGAAAATTGTTGAGGGGCTCTTAGACGCACAAATAAAGGTTACACAATGTTACGATTTTTGTTCTTTTAGCTACTTTAGCTGAGAAGTTGTCCTGGGGATTAATGAACACAAATAAAGGTTACACAATGCAACAATTTTTGTTCTTTTAGCTATTTTAGCAGAGAAAATTGTTGAGGAGCTTATAGGTCTGTAGAGGATAGGTTGATGTGAAGTGTTAGAGGTTTATGGCTGTTGTAAATATGGGTGCAACAGGGACGCTTACTTATTTTCAAAATAAGTTTAAATAACTTTTTTATAATTCAAATGTTTGCCACTAGTTTCGACTTGCCGTCTTCAGGCGTCAAAGACTTTGCAGTCTTTACTCTACATCCATCGGGTTGTGATATATCATTCCCAATACTGTAGTTACCGTCTTATTTTAATTTTCTCTTATATTAAACGTATAATTTTTATATCAGTGCTTGTAATGTTTGTGTTAGTGTTTGATAATTTATGTTGGCTACTGTATATGAATCGATGAATTTTTTATGAAGCAATGACATCTTTCGATGCCTGATTTATGACAAGTCAAAACTAGTTACAGCATAAGCAACATTTGGATTATGAAGAAGCAGGTATTTAAACCAATTTTGATATTCAACGTAATCCAAAGGCTAAATATTAAAAAAACTTAATTAATTTGTTGCTTTGTTAAACTTGTGTTGTATCTGAAAATAAGCTGTTATGTAATTTAAGTTTACTATGTAATTTGTCTTATTTCAGAGCTGGACGAGTTCCTGCAAGACCTAGATGAGGACGTGGAGGGAATGCAGAGTACAATCTACTACCTACAACAGGAACTGCGGAAAGCCAAGGAAGCTCTGACGGCCGCAACAGCTTCTACGGTAGTGTCGACTGATCAGTGTAACGGAGACAGCAACAGCAGTAGTAACAAACCTCCTGCCTCGCGCAAAAGGACTACTAGTGAGGACAGTGACGATGTACCTCTCATCAAGAAAGTGCGAAGAGACTCGGAACCGTCAGTGCACTACAGTGACGAAGAGGTCGGTTTAACAAACGGTGACAACTCAACAAACTAAGTGACAATTGAGTATAGTTTTATTTTTGGAATTTTTTAATTGCTTTTGTTACTATCGGTCATTTCTATTGTACATAAACGATGTGTATATTCTGTAAATATTGTTACAATGTAATCAAAAGTGCAAATGCAAAATATCTGTCCTAATATTGCGAATATATGTGTATATATTCTGTTGATTTGGTGTTTTTTTTTATGTTTCCTTTGAGCAAAGAATTATTATTGTAGAAAACAGGTTATATCATATATTTAATGAACTATAGTAAAATAAAAGTAATAGTAAGACCCGTTCAGTTTAATTGCTAATCCGCTGAATGCTACATTATGTTTTTATCTGGTAAACGAAGAGTTGGTTGAAAGGTGTTCAAGGTGTAAAAACCCTTGACCGCTTTTACCGCTTTACACTAGCCGTTTCAGTTCAATTCTTAGAAATGAAAAGATCACTTAACAGCATTGTTTTTTTGTTTTTTTTTACTTTTTTTTTACTTTTTTTTTTTTTTACTTAATAACACAGTTAATGGACCAATGAGGTTTAAGAATTTAGAGTAAAGCAGTAAAATTGTAATGCTTCAAACTTCAACTGAAGCCCCTAAAGGCAAAGTGGACTAACCCCAAAAAAGTAAGTTTTGAGATATTAAGTGCTAAAGTTAAAAAATCATATCTTAGGTCAGAAGTTGATCTGGATTGTGATATTTTTGTAATCTGTTAGAAACCCATAGAATTATACTGTTTGGTAAATTATTTTAAAAAAAACACAATATTTCATTTCCAAAATGGCTTCCAAAATTGAGTAGTCCGTTTTGCTTCCATGTCCTGTGGGTTAGTCCATTTTAACATTAAGGTTAGTCCATTTTACTGTTACAGCAATGTGGAACTAAGACCTACATAGAGTATAAAGGATAATAGAGCAAAAAAATTAAAGGCATGTCACACAGTTTAGTCCATTTTGACTTTACAACAAAATGACATTTGGATTAACATTGTTCTAATGGAGGATAGTCCAAATTTGCACTTAATTTTGTGGGTTAGTCCATTCTGCCTAGAAGAAGATGTGTGATAATGCATTTTGGACTAAACATTTTTTGTTCTAGAAAAAAAAAATACAGCTGATAGAGCTTTGTTTTACCATCAGATAGAGCTGATTTTTCTTCACCAGCTGGTATACCTATTTCAAAACTGAAAATTTGTGGGTTAGTCCACTTTGCCTTTAGGGGCTTCAACTAATCAGCTGTTCAGGACAATTAATTTGTTAAGTGGTTCAATAAGTGTTTGGTACAATGATTTAATACGCAAGCAGGTTTTTTGTGACAATTACTCCTCCGAAACAACTGAACCGATTGACATGTTTTTGGTGTCATTGGAAAGAGCGTAATGTGAAGTTTTGCAGGAAACCTTCTTTTTAAGGAAATAATTAGAGAGTGAGGCCCTGGGGCCCTTTAAAGTTTCGTATTTCTCCATAAGGATAACAAGGGAGATAATTTTTATTTACAGAAACATATGTTTGTTACTTGAAAATAGTCAAAGTCTACTACATAATAATTGCTGCGAATTATGACTGTTAGTTAATACTACATTTCCATCAGGGATTGTGTGCCTTTAACTTTACTCATATTGGATCTCACTACTTTATTTTCTTGCTGGGAATAGTAAAATTTAGTTGAGAATAAGTTACCATATTTAGAAAACTTTATTATAATAGTTGATGTATTTAAAATCACAAATCTTTGACATTATTAATTCATTAGAAACGACACTGCTGATCGAGAAATCAAACAAATCATCTACTTCATGTGAATAATCTTTTTTTTTACACAAACATAGTTTTTTTTAACCAATAACTTGATTCTTTTTTACCTGTGGGTGATGTATTTTGAGTTTGCAGTTATGAAAGCACCAAGCCAAGTAACTTTCATCTAATTTTCTTTATAAACTAACAGTATTAATGAATTACTACATGAACTTGACAAGTTAGGTAATTAATTGTCAGTATGCCAAGGGGAAGAAGAGTGGGTCCTCGAAAACAGACGAAGGCAGACACCCATCTAGAAAATCCAACAGAGTTTTTAAATATAGAGGTCAGTGGATTGCCAAGACACAGATTATACTAATAAAAGGGGGCAGTGGTTTTATTGATATTAATACATCAAAAAGGGCCTCATTAATGGCACAAGGCTTCGTCGGTTAACAACAATGTAAAGTAGAATGTTAAGTCCTAACTGGAACAAGTGAGTAGGGACATATTTTGATTTCGAGGATAAAAATTTGCCCGTCTGAAACAAACTTACCTTTAAAAATGGAAAGAATGCTAATTTCTGTTTTTTTCATTTGCAGCACAAGCACTTTAATTAAAGAGCAGCATTGTTCTTAGTCAGACCAATTTCAGTCATGAGCAAATATATATATATATATATATATATATTTGTTGTTTTAAGTAAGGCTACATCTTTTAATAGGATACGCATATTCATTACGGAAAATTCTGACCTGGGTAATATTCCTGAAAGGTAACTTTAAGACTAAAATCATAGTATTCATGGAAGTGCTTTTGTGATAAAAAATATTGTTTTTTAGTGTTTGTTTTTATAAGTGTTTTCTTCAGGCAGCATTTTATGACCTTCAAAATATGCTACATAGGTCAATTGGTTTGATATGATAAAATGTTTTGTTAAATTTGTTTTAAAACTCTTTAAAAAAAAATAACTACACTATAACATACTTAACCTTGAACACTTATTAATTTAATAAATCGCATACAGCTAGACAATGGCTGGACTGCTTCCCTTCTAAGGCTTTATTATTACTGAATTTAATTTTTGACGTCGAAACAATATATAACACGATGAATTCGTTTTCTAAATTAATATGTTTTTTTGCGGGGCATTGAGCCGCACAGGTTCACTAGTTCAATATTAAGGCCAGTTGCAAAACTGTCAGTGGTAATGAGGGGTTATAAACGAAAACGTCTAAAACATAACCTCTCTTTGAAGTTATGAGTAGTGATTGTTGGTACAGTAATTAAAACACTGTCGTAGGTAAAGTAGTGTATTGTTTTCAATTTTGTTAAAGGACAAGAAGTCTACATGCAATAAGTCAAACATCTTACCATTGACTATTGGATACTGAAGTAGACACACCATCTTACAGACAATTTTTTGCCAAATTTGTCAAATTAAAAATAACAGTGTTGAGAGGCTGGTCACAGAAGGCGCTAGGGTCTAAAATTCTGTTTTTTATCTAATTTTTTTGCTAACATAGTTTGTGTGTCATAACAGTCACAATAAGTTATTCCATCAGCACAATCTGTCAGTGTCTCACAACTGCTCGACCAGATCTGCATACACTAAAGCAAGAAACACATTAAACTCGGCCATAAGAAGCGCAAAAAAGCGGTACTTCTCAAGTCAATTAAAGAATAAGGACCCAAAAGGTTTTTGGTCATCGTTGAGAAGCAATGGCGTACTGGGCTCGAGCAGAGAAAATGAGTGTACCTTCTCTCCTGAGGACTTGAATAAATTTTTCTCCACAATGGGCGGCAACGGTTGTTTAGACAGGGGCAGGATTGAGTTCTACGCTGAAAACCAAAGTAGCCAAGTGAAGAATAAATTCTCTTTCAGTCTAGTGACAGAGAAACGAATCAGGGATGTCATGAACAGCATCACAACCCGAGCCGTTGGTGTGGACGGCATTTCTATTGATATGGTTAAATCGTTGAGTTATTATTGTGATTCTGCTATTTGTCATCTTGTAAATTTGTCCATGACTACTGGCATTTTTCCCAGTGCCTGGAAACAGAGTATTATAATTCCGCTATCAAAAAAGACCAATGCTTCATGTGTTTCTGATTTCAGACCCATTTCAATTCTTCCAGTGCTTTCCAAAATATTGGAAAAAGTGATTGGAGAGCAATTAGTCTCGTATCTTGAGTCAGAGGAAATTCTTCCTAAAACACAGTCAGGTTTTCGAAGGGGGTTCAGCACTAGTTCAGCTCTTCTGAATGTCATGGATGAATTGATTTGTGCAAGAGATAGAAATTGGGGTAGTATTATAACTGGATTGGACTTTTCACAGGCATTCGATTCAGTTAGTTTCGATCTTCTGTTAGCCAAACTGAGTTTTTACCAATTTGATAGTCGATCTGTGCAGTGGTTTTCCTCCTATATCCGTAATAGGTCACAACAAACTCGAGTTAATGATCAGGTTTCACATTTTTTACCAAAAGTGTCCGGGGTTCCCCAGGGCAGTTGCTTAGGTCCTATCCTCTTCTTGATTTACACTGCCGACCTTGAGTCACAGCTTAGTTACTGCTCTGTCCATTCTTACGCCGACGACTCGCACCTTATTTTATCCTACCCTTTGGCTGAGTTTCCTGAAGCAGTCACCCGCATGAATAGCGACTTGATAAGTGTTAATAAATGGTCTAATGATCATGGTCTTCAGCTGAATCCTGACAAGTGCTCTGTTTTAAGAATCGTAAACTACTCTGTGCAAAGCCAACACAACAAGGATACTGATTGTGAAGTTCTTCTAAATGATAAGCCGTTGCCTGTTAGCGATTCATTAAAATTCCTTGGTGTCAAATTGGACTCTAGGCTCAATTTTTCTGAAGATGTGAGACACATCTGTAAAACTGTTGTTGCTAAATTACGATTATTTAATAGGTTTAGGTTTGTTCTACCAATGTCAACCAAACTTGAAATAGTTCGTGCTATAATTCTTCCATCTATTAAGAATAAGAATAAGAATATGTTTATTGTCTTTCAGGCTACATAAGCATTAACAAAGTCAAATTTACAGCAGAAATGCCAAGTCTCTATACTAATAATTAGGCCTAAGGGTAATATCACATATCATAGAAATATACAATTCATAGGAACTATACAAGAATCAAAAATTATACATAACAGATTTTAAACATTAAAATTCTATCTGTTTTAATAAGAAAAATTCACTTAGTGAATAGAAAGGATTTTTAGATAACCACTCATAAAATTTGTTCTTAAAAACTTTAACAGTATATTTCTTACTAAGATTAATTACTTTATTGTATACCTTAAGGGATAGTACTACATGACTAGACAGTGATTTGCTGAGCCTATTGTACTCAATCACTGCTTTATCCCTATTACGAGTGTTGTAACTATGCATATCCCCAGTGAGTGTAACAAGATCCTGATTTTTT